GTGGATTTCGTTCCAAAATAACTGCACCGGCTTGGCGGCCTAGAATGAATCAAGCCAATTTTTATACCCTGAACAGGGTATATTAAGTTTGCGACGAAGTTTGTAACACCCAGAGGGAAACGTCGAAAACCCTATAAAATATATACATAAATGCTCAGCATGATGAGCTGAGTTGATTTAACCATGTCTGTCCGTCTGTCTGTCCGTCTGTCTGTATATATACAAACTAGTCCCTCAATTCTTATGCTATCGATCTGAAATTTTGCACCTGTTCTTTTCTAACAAAGAAGCTGCTTATTTGTCGGAACGGCCGATATCGGACCACTATAGCTTATAACTGACATACAAACTGAACAATCGGAATGAAGTGCTTGTATGGAAAACTCTTTCATTTGACGAGGTATCTTCACGAAATTAGGCACGAGTTATTGCTTAAGGCAACAAATTATTCTCCACAGAAATTGGTCAGATCAGATCACTATATCATATAGCTGCCATACAAATTGAACGTTTGGAATCAAGTTCTTGTAAGGGGCCTTTGTATTTGTGAAGGGTATTATAGCTTCGGCGCAACCAAAAGTTAACGTTTTTTCTTGTTGATACCCTGTTTTGATGTGAACCGTATTACAATGAGTGCATTCTGCATCGACCCTAACAATTGATAGTCAAAGGAGGCAAGGTCTGCGCTGTAAGGCATGTCAGGCAAAAATTCCCAGTCGCTGTTTACCAAATAGTTCTCAACCGGTCTTACAGCATGAGGTCAAATCTTGTCGTGATTATTGATTGAAAATTATTACTCCGTGTCTAGCCGCAAACTCCTGGCGTTAATCGGGAATGGCTCGTTTTATTTTGATGAGTTATTGTCGGTAACGTTCCCCATTAACAGTTTCACTCGGTTTGAGAAGCTAATAATACAACACGCCTTTTGGTCCATCAAATACATAGCGTTATCTTGGCGGCATGGATATTCAGGTTTGCTGTTGATTTGGCTGGTTTCACAAATGATTTTTGCGTTTATGGTAATCGTAATGGATTCATTTTTCATTAACAATCTGCTACTTTATAAGCCTTCTATATCCGTTTGACAGCTGTCAAGATATGCGTTTACTACCCATCGCCTTTGCATACAACCATAAACCTAGATATGTGTGTAATCACACAGCGGTGTTTTTAATTAAATTTTATTTTTAAATGCATTTAATTTTCACCTTAGTTTTTTATAGAGACATACATACCTATATTTGTGTGTGTGTATTTATTCACTTTTTCCAATCAAAACGTGCACTGACATCGCTGGTCGTTAATGTGCAATAAAGTTGTGATAGCTGTCATTTGCTTGTCGTCTGACCCGTGATAATACAATCCGGTGCCTCCACACGCACACATACACACACTTGTGCAGATAATATTACACATTTGTTTTTGCTTGCAACCTTTTTTAATTACTTCACCTACTTGGACACGTAGATCGTTGCTTGTTCGCTCCGGGCTGCTTTGATTGCTTATAAAAATAAGAAAAATGAGGAATGCAATTTCTTCTGCATTGATTTTTGCCTTTCGCGCTTAATTAGTTGCTCATTGAGCTCAATTCAATTACAGCCAATGGTCGGTGAGAATTAAAAGAGCAGCAAGTTGATTGACAGTTGTTATCACAGTTAAATATATGCTTTTACATTTATTATGAATCCGTGTATGTATACGTTTTTTTATTTATTTATTATAAACTATTGTAATTTGTTATTGATGAACGCGGTAAGAAATGTGGGAGGTGATATTCACATTCTAACCTATATATACATACATATACATTTGAATATATGATGTGGAAAAATTGCATGTAAGTACATATATTCCTCTGAAAACGTCAATTTTCAATCAAGTAACTGTAGTTCGCAAGCAATTTTTTCATACCTACAAGTACATAGTAATTATAAATACTATTGTAGATACCCATTCGATTGCAACAAAACTTGGTATACGTGACCCTTGGTACTTTCAAGAGATTCGTATTTAGACGGCCAAAATCGGGCCAATGCCCCGCCGAAAAAATATTGTTGAGCAAAAACTTCTATAATACTAGAACTAAGCCACAAATTAAGCTACGAAAATTGGTTTGAATTTTGTACGAAAAATCACTGTGTGGAGTATTCGTGTCTAAATTTAGTAGATAACAATATTTGGATATCCTTAAAATACAGTTTAAAAATGGTCTACATCGGATTAAGTTAAGGTTAAGAAGTCGATCCTAACAGGGATCTCATTTGGACAGCATGGAACGCTGGTTCATTATGGTATCTAAAACTCTGATATAATTGATCAAAATACCCTCAGAAATCGGCAAAGCGCTTTGAGCCTAACACAAATTTGTGAAGGCGGCTAATTTCAGTTTCGGCTATGTCTTCTGCTTCGCCGACGGTAAGACGGCGGAGACGTACCAATCTCAGTCTTGCAAAAGTTGAACAATGGAGCAGAAAGTATCTGAATGTTTCCACACACATTCTTCCATACTGCTTCGACAACTTGCGTCCGATAAAATTCTTATTGTACAATATCCAATAAGTACGATTGCGGCAGGAAAAAGTTTGCTAAGGGCAAGTAGTTCTGTAGATCTTCTGCCTTCTACTTTAAGCTAAAGGGATATCGCAGTCGCACATAAACTGGTCGTCGACCAACGTCTACTTAGCGCAGGCGAGGTCCATAGTTCCAGTGCTAGAGCGCTAAATGACAACGGAAATCCAACTCGTACTTCGAGGTTGTCCTCTCATACTAGCTCATCGGATAAGCAGTTTTCAAACGAGTGTGATAATGAAGTAGCTTGATGCTATATCTAGTGAGAACAGACACTCCTTGACTAACTTTCAGCACACAGTTAGCGAGTTCAGCGCTAGTATTGCTGCTTTACTGTCGGTTCTGATTTTCGTTATTTAACATATTTAACAAAATTAAGTGACCGTATTATTTCGAATATATTGTACTTTTGGTGATCGTTTTTAATTCTCGGTCAGAGTAAGCCACTCATAGCAATCCACGAAGTGTGTTACCAAAAGGTTTGCTCATTTTGTAGTTAAAATTATTTTAACCTGACGTGTTACGACATAATTACTGATAAAAGTGGACATAATGTGCGAGCCTTTATGAAAATTGCTCAATTTCTCGGTAACTCAAAACCACTCAAAAACCCATTGTTCGTTTCAGATAAGCCACACATTTACAATAATGTGCGCATGTTTACTTTTATAGCACACTTTTAGGCGCATATGCCGATAAGAAGTGAATTTGTGTAAGGGCTAAGGTACTTATCGTAATGCGCAAAAGTTTACTCAATTTAGGCTTGAGTATCAGCTCATAAACTCAAATAAAAAGCGCTTTCAACGAGTTGGAAGGAAACGGTTACAATGGTTGAAATATTTATAACAACAGAAGCACTTTATTTTATTTCCGAAAATTTCGTTTGTTTATAAATTTATTTACTTTTCTGCAATTAATATATGAAATTGACGGCTTCGAACAAGCCGTGAGAATGTTACATTTCACTCAACAATACACCATATATTACCCCACACCTCTTACGCATTTCCTCTCTCCTGCTCTCGCATTGAATTTCGCCCAGCGGGTTTCCGCAGCAATAAATTTCCATCACTTAGCTACCGGAAAGTTGCTCCAGTGCGCCATATCGTCATTCTTTTATTTTAGTTCACATTCCAGCAGCGCGTAAATCATTGTTACTCTTAACAAAAACAACAATTTGTATACATTTTCACTTTCTTTTTTTTTGAATTTTTATGAATTTATCATATAACGTATATTGTGGTTGTTGTTGCCTTTGCTGTCCTCTTGCACTCTTGCTGTCCAAAAAGTTACTCCTTTGTTGTCAGCGAATACGCTTTTGCGCTCAATTATCCACCTCCGCTGTTGAGGGCCCTGCACCGCTCACACGTAACTGTTGTCTGCGAATTTAATTTGTGAATTTTGCGCGAAATACTTTTTGTAAAAGCTCATAATTTAATTAATAGTGGGAGACTGTTGGTATCGTGAGTAAAATTTTATTAAATTTAATTTATTAATTTCGTTAACAAGGTTATGCTGTAATATATATATGTATATACAAGTGTATACATACCTATGAGCTCTGCTACCGTTAAAACAGACAGAAAATATCGTAATTTTCGTAATTTTTTAATATAAATCTGTAATGAGCCGTTCATAAAAGGCATTCCCGGTGTCTATTTTCAGAGTTAGTTCAAAAATTAACTTTATATGGTCTTATTAGATTAATGGTATGTTCCTCGAACCGAGTATTTCTGTTTCAAGAACAAAAAAATAGAGAGAGTAATTTTTTTCGAATAAGCTGGCTGAGTGATGGATTTTATTAGCATTTCGTTGGGAAACAGCTCTGTTGTGTTTTATACTTGACATTTTCAAGCCAAAAATTAAGGATCTCTGACGATAATGCGCTTTTAACAATAAAAATCACCAAAATGTGTTGAGCGACTCATAACTGCTGCTGAGAGCCTCTGCCAACTGTTCAATGCGTATGCTCTTTAAAATTTGTTTACCCTGAACATGGTATATTAAATTTGCCACGAAGTTTGTAACACCCAGAAGAAAACGTAGAAGACCCCTTAAAATATATATTAAAATTATCAGCATAACGTGCTGTTTGGATTCAGCCATCGATTTGAAATGTTGCACACGCCTTTTTGTCTCCACGAAGCTGCTCATTTGTTCGAACTGCCGATGTTGGACCATTTTTGCATATAGATGCCATATAAACTGAACGATCAATGATAGATGACATTCATGTTAACGATGTGGAGAGATGACTTACACTTCGTAGACGTCGGAAGTAGTTCTTATTTCAGTGATCTTCTTTAAAAAGAATTTTGAAAACGCTAATATTTTATACGAAAACAAGTACTTTTTATTAAAAAGTTTAACTACCTACAATAACACTTCTTTTCATTGATGCCTTCATAACTTTTGCTCTCTCTTATTTCCAGAACACATCGCCGCTGTGGGAAGACTTTGTTACCAAGGCCACGAAATTGCATCAATGTTTACGGTAAGTGTGTAAGGTGTTTGCCAACCACTTCACATCGCTGTTCTATCTCTTTCTCTCTCTCTAAAATCTTGTGCGCTTAGCAATAATAGAAATTCAGTTATTGTTTCATTGCTGAAATTGTTTATAGTGTGGATGATCGTTCGTATGTTTAGATTATAAACAAACAAAAGACGAATCAATATTGAGTGGCAAATATCTCCTAAACCTTCCACGAGTTCAAATTTACATGTACATATGAATGTATGCCTTCGCTTTTTGGGCGTAGTAAATGAACCTGGAATGTTGAAGTAGTAATTTATGACTCAAGTGGAAAAGTGTAAATTTTCACTTGACCTCAATTGTTTAGGTTACCATGGGAGAATGTGGAATTCATAGCCCACTTTTGGTTATACATATGTATACATATATGTTATGTATGTCTTTTGACTAATGAGAAGTTGCCTACTTCTCGCTAAACCCAGGAAAATCAATTTATGGTCGGGTAAGGGAAAATTATTGCATTAGTGGTAAATTACTTGTATTATGCAACACCTTTTGAAATATTTGTGTTAAGAGCCGTATATGGAACGAAATTGAAGTGGAAAACATTCAGATACTTTTACTTACTAATCGTTTAGTAGTATAGAAAAAGTATAATAATCGTGAAGTAAAAAGCGGATAGACACGCAGATGAGCGCTAGGTTCGCACTACAGCTTTTTTAACTAACTAAGAATAATTTATGTTTCATGAATAATTTAACGCTAAAATTTACTATTCCAAATATAATCAATTAAGATCGCTCTTAAATTTCGTATTACAAAAATTTTATTAGATTAGATAAGATAAAATAAAAAAATGTGATCTTGGATCTTGGTCTTAACTAACCATGATAACATGGGAAGTTGATTTTACTTGTTTTAGCGTGCGAGATTTATCGGAGGCAGAGTTGAGGTACCGAAGCACAAAAAAAGCCCATTACTCAATCGCTTTATTCGGTATATTTTGCTCTCTGACTTTTTCCTGCTCCCAAACCTCAAATATCCGCGAATGAGTCAATTGAAGATAAAAATATCCCTTAAAGAAAGTAAAGACCGTCTTTGTCCGAAAACATGATTTAATAATGAAAGAAAAATTATTTTGATGGCGTGTTGAAAATCATGAAAATATTGGCATAAAAAGGGAGAAGCCAGCATTGAAAGCAATATTAAATATTTGTATTAAGTAACATAAAGTAACACGGGTCAACACTAATTTTGACCTCGACTTGAAAGTGTAAAATTTCTTTAGTTTAGGTCACAAATACACGAAAAAAATATATGACCTTCAAAAGTTTGCTTGCCGCTCAATTAAAAATCGCTTACCTTCCAAACATCTTTTACAATAACCACGTTAACAACATGTGGAGTCCATGATTTATCTTGATTTCGAACAGTACAGTCAAAATATGCTTCATAGGCATCGCAGAGAACTTGACATGACTTTAACTCATATTTAGTGTCTCTAACTTTCATAAATTCACCACATATATAATAAAATGCATTAGCATCGTATTTACACTTTCTCGATGACATTTTAACGTTTTCTGGATATGTACGAAACACCTGATCGTTATTTATCACTTGAGTGCCATCTGGAGGCACTCTCTGAATATAAAAACTCCACTCCAATCTCGCGGTATTTTTGAATGCATTAAAACTAATTAAAATTTTTAAAAAAGTGTATTATTATTATAACTATCGCAAAAGCAAACTTCATACCAAAAAAAAAGTATTTTCTTTTCGTTTTTGTGTCTAAGTAATCGAAAAATCATAGTATAAAGTTTAGGACAAACAACAATGTTTTTTGGAATTGAAGAAAATAAGTAAATTTGTCTGATAAAATCATTGTAACGGCTTTCGAGAACTAGAGTTTTTGAAAAATGGGCGTATACGAAGGCGGTTCTAAGTATTTATCACTTCTCCGCTTGCTGTCACTACTATTGTAAGGGACATTTACTATCATGTAACTGCAGCGTTTGACGATGTTTGAGCGCAATCCTAGGAACGTTCTATATCGTTTCATGATCGTTGACAAAACTTAGATCCACTAATACAACATGAGAGACCATGCTCCGAAGAAGGCGAAGACTGTCCTATTAACTACCGTTTTGTGTGAGCTCTGTACACCTGATCAAATTTGACCCGGACTAGTCTATTTAAACTGCGGACTCACCTAATCGACAAAAACATTTTATTTCCATATGTTAATTAGTATGTGCTCGACAACTGTTTATTTACAACGCGAAAGGTTTGTCTGGCGATTTTTACATTAAAAAAAGAAATAGAACAACGAGTTTGCTTGAAATTTTGTGTGTCCAGCGAAATGAAAATGTTGCAGTAGTGTAGACTCCCCACTTTATCACTAACACAAGTGTTTAAGTGACACAAAGCATTCAGTGAAGATCGTGATGTGACTTCGAAACTGTCCAAAAATCTAACGGATTGCGCTCCAAAAATGAGCCGAAACCGAGAAAACCAAAATTCGCTGATGTCACTGCAGTCAAAGAAATTGGAGCACCGCTGTCGAGCTAAAAAAAAAATATGTGGAGAAATAAATACCAATTTCCGTTTTCGTTGTAAACTGTATTTGGGACAAGATTTGAGTTGTATCTTTTTTTTTCTTTTGTTTTTATACCCTGAACAGGGTATATTAAGTTTGTCACGAAGTTTGTAATACTCAGAAGGCAACGTCAGAGACCCTATAAAATATAAACATACATATATAAATGATCAGCATAACGATCTCAGTTGATTTAGGACCATCCGTCCGTCCATCTGTTTGTATATACGCGAAGTTGCCTCTCAGTTTTTGAGATATCGATTTGAATTTTTCCACACGTCCTTTTCTCCCCAAGAAGCGGATAATTTGTTGGAACCGCCGATATCGGTCCACTATAGCATATAGCTGCCATACAAACTTCTTCACACCAGATAATAATAATATTTTAATAATTCAGATAATAATAATAATAAGTGTTATTTAATGCGTTGAAAATTTGAAACAAAAAAATTTATCAAAATTTGTATTTTTATAAACACGTACTCATACATTTTAAAACTTGTGCCATTTTTTAATACGAATTTGCTACATTAAAAAAGCTTTGACGGCCAACAATATAGCAAAGCATTTCTGTGTAAAATCGTCACCGCAAAACAATTTCCATTTAATAAAGAACAAAAATTCAAATAAAATGAGTAACAAAGAAGCGGCCAAAATATTTGAGAAGTCTCATAGCACAGCAATTTTCGTTTTCCGTTGATATGAGCTATATACAGTTATATTATAAATACGTACATGTGTATATTTTCAAATTAAATTTAATGTTTTTTATCTCGATTTATTTACAGTGCCGCCATTCAGGCAATCGCCGCGTATTTGGACGCGTTCCAAAAAATCGCAGACGCAGCAACAAATTCAAGAGGTAAGTTCAAATCCCCAACGCACATAAAAATCAACCCAAAAGAAACATACACACACACACACACACACCACACATATATACATACATACATACATAGGCAGAGATAAGTTGTATAAGAAATTAGCGGCAAATAGCACGAAAGTTGTGTGCTACTTACTTCTCGTGCATGAAAACTTCCAATGCTCACACACGCACACAAACACTTGCTCACACATGTTGCTTTCTATTACGCAACAATGTTGCATGGCACGTCCAACCGCGATACATGTTGCGGCATCATGCTGTTTATTGCCAGAATCGCAAATAAATAAACACCGCTAACAGATTGACCACTCGCTGTTTGCAGCGCTTATTTGCTGGTATTTATTTTCTTAGTGGCAAGCTGCTGAAGTGTAATGTGAAAAAATCTCGTAGTTCCAAGAAACCATAATTCCGATACTTGATTCATTGTCAACATCTCAGATGCACATTTTGTTTTACACCAGGCCACAAGCACCGTACCTATTTTCTTTTGCGCATATATCGTTCAAATGTACTAGTGTATACATCAAAAGGTCGCAGAACTGTCAGTTCGCTATCGACCAAATATCGAATTTGCTTATGACATCTCAGTCTGCAATGACAGTCTTGATAATACTAACATAAGTACTAATTACTATTATGGTGGTTGATTACCTGTTTTAATATATTCAGAAGACACCTGCTAAGCATTAGCTTTGCTCACGAATGTAAGGCTCGTGTTACTTTCTTTCATCATTACTGACCACATATTTGATGGTGTTGGAACCCACTACAAAAATTGGTTCTGATCCCATCGGCTAAGTTTCCATCACAATCCATATCATTAACCTTTGTACCGTTAGTCAATCGTACTTCTCTGATGAAATAATGTTCAGACACAAGTCAAGGGTTCAGCGAGTCCTTTATAAACCAGCCAGACAGAAATTGTAAGAAACCAAAATATAATATCATATTTCCGATTCTAGTTAAACCGCTAAGCAGAGGTGACCGTTTCAAAGAAAAAAAAATCGCTTATAATGCCACAGAATTACATATTCAAAGTAGGTACCGGAAATCCGTTACATTAGAACCGGAATCCCCACAAGGAACTAAAACGGTATACTGTCTTTTAGACCTTATTTGACTGACAATCATAGCAACTAAACAGGACAGAATCTTTAAGTAATCGAATTTACTAAAGTGATTTTATCTGTCCTTGGTCAATTCGAAATGTATCCACACAACTACCGTTATTATAAGGTGTAATTACCACATATGATGGCCAGAGGTGTTCATATCATTTCGTAGGATCTGAATTGATCTCATTTTCCAACGAATCTATACAACTTTTCTTTATAGGTGACCGAGTGTATTGATTCATTTGCAGACAACTCAAACTTGTAGGAGTCTCTGCTTTGCGTAGAATAAATTCATTTCTCAATGAGTGGGAAAGTTCGGCCAATATTACATGTATTAAATTTCTTACCGTCAACTATAAATACATATATTTTTCGAATTCACCAGATATATGTATCTCCCGTATTCCATATAGATTACATAACAACTTTATAATCATTCGAAAGCATCTAATATACTTATACACCGAAAGCTTACGGCTGCAGAAAATCAAACGCATAAAGGAAAGTCCCCCATTAAAAGTTTCTTCAAAGTCAAACTATTCACTTGGCCCTTAAAATGTGTGTATAATCGCAAGTTGACCCCTTCGGAAGACTTTATGCAATTTCTCCAGTGGGTAAATGCGTATTTTGTTTGTAATTAAATTTCACTAACGAGCCTCTACTGGTCTTACTGGTTGCCATCCTGCCATACTTGTATTTACATTGTAATTGTCCTTGTGCTCTTAATAATGTTAAATTCTCACACTCACAACACTTCTGAGATTTCCATATCCAGACAGAACTACCCTTCGTGGCATTCATTGGTAAGCGTAAAATACTAAAAGCTTAGATATCGCCAGCTCGTCAAGAAATTTGTGGCGAACCCTTCGGATATTACTTGCCACCCGTCTGCGCTATGGAAATGTAACAAATATTACAAAATATCATAAAGCCGACTCTCTTCATTGCTTGCTCATACATATAGTATAATAGTGTATATAATATATACTTATATGCATATATATATAAAATTATGTAAAGGTTAGAATTTCAAAGGCAAAACATTCTCCCTTTTGGTGTAATTTCATATATCCTTTTCACAAAGGGTGGATATTTTCTATCTAAACTGTTGGAAACACACTTGAACGTCGGTCAAGTTGGTTGATGCCACCATATTATTTGTCAAAGTGTTAATTGTTCCACCGTTTGCCTGTGAAAGCTTATTCTCTTTTACATATGTGCGTAGTAGTCTAACTGAACAGGCAAGGGCTAACAAATCAAATGGCTATCAGCAAACCTGTATAATTCTCACTTTAATATGGAAAGCTTCAGACAGTTGCAACACCGTAGTGTTATTCTTTTTGAGTAGTTTAGCAGATTTCCAGAATTCTAGCAGAAGTAGTTTTGTAATTAAATCATCGCCAGCAAACATTTGGTCAGAATATGTCGAGCAACGAGCAACAAAATTCCAAAATCACAAATTTTATAAACGGAATGATCATTGGAGCTTTCATTGATTGGCAAGTACCGTTTGCAAATATGAAACCAGAAATTGCCGTTTATGCAAAAATGCAAAATAGTGCAAGAAAAAATTCTACTGTGATGACAGTTCTAGCTCGTGTTACTCTGATTATAAGAATTCGATCAGTTTGGACTTATTGTTCGTCGATCCAGAATTTGGTTATTGATTGATTGATTTCTCGTGACTTCTTTTTTTTTTTTGGATATATTATAGTTTCCACCTCAGTTCGGCTCAAAGTAAAACCTGGAGTATAGCAATATATTCGAGTCGGGTAAAAACTCAAGTCCAATTCGATTGCAATGATTCGACTAGCAATAAGTCATTCGTCGCGCCGTTGATCCAGAATTAGGTTTTCTGAATACTTTTGAACGCTATTGGAAGTTTTTACCTCGATTTGGCTTAGAATAAGGCCTAGAGTATCTTTCGAAGTTTTGGTATAAAAAAGCATGAATTCAGATTCTAGGAAGTTCAGCAAACGGGGACTCCACTCGTTAATGAATTTATCGAATGGAGTAATACCCAATTCTTTTACCGCCTGGTGTCACAACAACTTCCAATGGAACACTTCATGTGGTAGTTGTTAAATTTATGTATTATAAATATGTATATGTATGTAAGTAGACTCAGTCGGCTTATAGCTCAAACAGTCACAGACATTCCTCCCTTCAAACAATTCCTCCCTTAAAAATTGTTTACACATTTATAAATAAATGTATCGACTGTGGTTTTGAGTTATTTTAAAAAGATTTCAAATATATATCAAATGACAACCCCGCGTTGCAAGAGATTGCTCTCTCACTCTCAGTTTCCTCTTTTCTACGGGAAAAATCCAATTTTCGCGGATATCCTACTGACTGATCATTTACATTGCGCTCTCATAAGATAGGTCATATCAGCTGATTCGATTCACGGTTTTGCGTCGGTGACTGTTTGAACTATTAAGACTGTCACATTTTTTCTATTTCCTGTCACAATTGTTGCGTTTGGCGTGTAATCGTCGTCGCAGTCGCTGTCGGTCTCGCAAATAAGCAGCAGCGTTTGCACTTTGCTATTTCGCTGGCCTACAGTCTCTTGCCACCCCAAGCCGTGCCACATCCGACCAGAAACACATGCAACTCATCGTTCCGCACCGAGTGTCGGTCGCATTTTAATTTTATTTGTCCACTTAGTTGCAAGCAGTGCTGTTGGCGTCACCGTCATCGTTAAATGGGGGCACTTGCAACGGTAAATGCAATATCAACAACAACAACCACCAAACAATCGCAATGACATTATCCACCGCTGTTGTTGATGTTGCTGTTAGTGGAAACTGTTGTGTCGTGGTGTGGAATGGCAAGCGCAATGTCGGCCCATCGCACAAAGACCGGTTGTTGACCGAATGTGGCATACTGCGTTAAGCTTAGTTACAAAATAAAACCGAAATAAAAAGACACCTTTTGGTCTGTCTCATTTCGTATGCTCTTTGTTGTTGTTGCCGCGCAACATAATATTGCTTACTTGAGCACAAGTTGCACGAATATGTGCAGCACTCATGTGGCAACAAAACAAAATATGTACAAGCACGCCTAGACAATGTGGCGTGGCGGCGCTGCAGCCATAGTTTTAATGTTTGTAGTTGTTGTTGTACAGACTCTTTCGATTGCTAGTTGGTTTTTGTGGCTGTGCAACATAATTTAAAATTTTGTTTAAGAATTGCAGTGGGTTAAAGATGTAAAAGAAGAACGAACGATGAAAAATGGTTGAACTTGAAAAATGTCATATTTTTTGTCTGTGTTGGCAATGCTACGCTGAGTTTTCCTTCAGTTTAGCAAGTAGTAATAAATATATATACATATATACCGGTGTAAAGAAGTACATATATACCATATGTGTATTCAGTGTTATAGCCAGCAACAGAGTGCAGCCTCACATTTATCAATCATTTTTTCAATTTCCACTTTTGTCAGCAAGCTTTCAAATACTATCTTAAATACATCTATCTCACATTTCTCAGGTGAGACCGGTTAATCCAGTTACAGACATTATTTGCATATAAATGTTGTTCATCAGAGTATTTCTTTGCTTATCATCTTTTGCTTGCAACATCGTGAGAGTAAGGATATAACGGAAAGTATGTCAATATTTTATTACACTGCGTTTTTGCCAGTTGCAACCATTCAGGTAATAATTGTTCTGCTCTACTTCCGACCTTCTGTTTCATGATTGGGAACTTCCGCTGCGTGAAAGCAGGCAATTTTATATAACCATTATAACATACACCTCGTATATACGAGTACGTATATGGTGCATTAAAATTCATATGGTTGTTAATTCACCACTTAGTATTCGGTAATATTCTTGTATATATACGATATGTAACCATTTTGAACCAATAAATTTCAAATTTAATTAATTTCATGACAATACTACCGATTTCGGTTGAGATAGTAAACAGTTATATAATAAAAACCAAAAAACTGATTTTCATACAAGAACTTGATTTATATCGTTCAGTTTGTTTGACAGCTATATGTTATAGTGTAATTTATTCAGATACCGTAGCGTTGCCTTGGAAAATAATGCATGCCAAATTTTGTGAAGAGCTCTCCTCAAATAAAAAAGTCTTCCATACAAGGATTTTTATGGCACCTATATGCTACAATGATCCGATCTGGATTATTTGTCCACAGATCGTAGCATTGCTTTTAAAAATAATCCATGCTAAATTTCGTGAAGATATCTTGTCAAATAAACAAGTTTTTCATACAAATGAGCAGCTTCTTGGAGAGAAAAAAACGTGTGCAAAATTTCAGATCAATATCTCAAAAACTGATAGACTAGTTCGCGCATATACAGACATACAAAATCTGACTCGGCTCGTCATGCTGATATGATTATATATACCTATATTTTTATATAGTCTCCGATGTTTCCTTATGGATGTTACAAATATCGTGACAAACTTAATATACTCTGTTCAGGGTATAAAAATTGGCATACATAATTCGAAGTTATATTTCGCTTAAAAATTTGTAGGCGGAGCCATAAGTACTTAGCCTACAAAAGAAATACGAAAAATTAGGGTGGGGCGCAGTTCTTAGACTATTTTTACTTTTTCGTGGCGAATGCGGATAATGGTAGCCGTTTTTGCAGCATCTGGGCATCGCTTACCAAAACCGAAATAAGACCACGTTGACATCAGTGAAACAAATTATTGACGATCGCCATCAAAGGGGAACTCACCGCATACACCACCCAATCGATCTTTGATTTCACTGTGCGATTTTCTTCTGTTTTCCAAAGTCCGCGAAACTTCTTGCTTCCATACCCGGTCAAAACAAAACTTCAATTCCGATTCGGCTGAAACCGACAATAGTCGTCTACGAGAATATACTACACTGTAGTAAATTTTTCTTGTTAGAAAAAGAACATACCACAATATCTCTCCTCTTTTACAGAAAAAATTTAAAAACCCAATTTTTAATATATTTATAACAAAATGTTTAAACATAACCTCTTTTTTTTTTACTTGCAGGAGCTTCCAAAGAAATTGGCACCGCTTTGACGCGGGTCTGTCTACGCCACAAAGCGGTCGAATCACGTCTGAAAACTTTCACAACAGCAATAATGGACTGCCTTGTACAGCCATTGCAAGTAAGTACAAACTCTATCTCTTTCGTTTCAATATCCTTTATATTTATTAATTACACCACTTTTTACGCAGGAAAAACTAGAAGACTGGAAGCGCACAGTGATCACTATCGACAAGGAACATGCCAAAGAGTATAAGCGCTGTCGCACTGAACTGAAAAAGCGATCCAGCGACACGTTACGACTGCAGAAGAAAGCACGTAAAGGTCAATCGGATACTATACAGTCACTTATGGACTCACATAAGCAGGATGTGACATTGCGACGCGCCGAATTGGAGGAGGTGGAAAAGAAATCTTTGCGTTCGGCAATGATCGAGGAGCGTTTGCGATATTGTACGTTTGTGCATATGCTGCAGCCAGTCGTGAAGGAAGAGTGCGAAGTCATGTCAGAGCTGGGACATTTACAGGTGAGTGAGAAGACAAATCGCAAGCGTGGTGTAAGGTTGTTATTAACTGAATCATTCTTTTCTTTTTTTGCTTTAGGAAGCAATGGATTCTATCGCCCTCGTTACAAAAGAGCCCAGCGTCCTACCACAAGCATCCGAGGAACTTATACATGACACCAAAGCCACAATGTCGCTATATCCCGAGTCGCCGGGTGGCGGTTCGAGCTCACAAGGTGGTTGCTCGAATTCGCTGGGCTCACGCAAAAGTTCCGTTTGTTCGATTAGCTCCATGAACAGCAGTGGCTCAAGCAACTCACCGGGACATCATCACTATCCACGTTCGCTATCGCAGGTGAGTGTTGGTCGAATATCTAAGCTTCAGAGCTGCGAGTACAAACGCTGTTGGCAGCTCTGCTTTAAGTTAATGTGGTGTGCAGCAGTCCTTTAAGCAGACTCTTTTTTTAATGCTTTATATGTCAAATGTTATATAATTTTTAATTAAATGTTATTTTTGCGCATTATTTGTTTATTTTATGTTGTGTGTTTCTTTTTTTTTTCATACTCATCATAATTATAGTTAATTTCGCCTGCAATACGCTTGAAACCTGGTGAATCCAGTGATAGTGGCTTTTGCTCATCGCCAGCGCTAACCACACAGGTTTTTATTATTTTCTTAATATTATTATAATTAATTTCTATATTTGTTAAGTCACGCTTTTGTTGTACATATTGTGATTTTAACCACCATTATTATAAACTGAACAGAGTATATTAAGTTAGCCACGATGTTTGTAACGCCCAGATGGAAACGTTGAAGACCCTATAAATTATATACATAAATAAATGATTAGCATGACGAGCTTAGTCGATTTAGCCCGTTCGTCTACCTGTGCGTGCGTCCGTCTGTCTGTATATACGCGAACAAATCATAAATTTCAGATATCGATCTCAAATTTTGCACACGTCCTTTCCTCCCCAAGATGCTGCTCGTGTGTTGGAACCACCGATATCGGATCACTATAGCATGTAGCTGCTATACAAACTAAACGATCAAAATTATGACCTTGTATAGAAAACTTTTTTGTTTGACGAGATATCTTCACGAAATTTGGCTCGACTTATTCCTTATAACAACGGTACAATTTCTAAAGAAATTCAGATTGGATTACTATATCATATAGCTGCTATACAAACTGACCGATCAAAATCAAATTTTTGTACGGAATTCTTAGTATTTGTGAGGGCTATTATAATTTCAATGCAACTGAAGTTAAAATTTTTTTGTTTGCTAGAATTTTCGAATTGATATTGTTTTCTACGATTTCCTTTGTTTACACTAACATTACTTTCCCTTGTAAGGCTTCTACTGCCACTAGTCAATCACATGCTGTTTCCACTTGGCCACCACATTCCCAAGATGCCGTTCCAGTGTTGCCACCTGCCTCCGATCGTCCACACACAATCTCAACCGCCTACGAGAAGGGACATCAGCGGCCACCACTCACCGTTTACACGTTCCAGAATCCGGAGACCATTCTAGAGGGTAGCGGTGGCAGCGGCAGCATACCGGGTACGCCAAATGGCACCAGTGGCGGTCCTGGGTCCGGCGCTAATACACCATCTACACAAAAGTCGCCAGCCGGTGCATTGAGTCGCCCACCTTTGCCAGTGGTAGGTTACCATATACAGATATTTATATATACAAATAACTGCATATTCATATATATGTATGTCAATTTTCTTTTTTTCTCTGTGTTTGTTTTTGCGGTAATGAATTCTTGTTGTTAATTTAATTGTATTATTATTACTATGACATCAGAAACCAACACGTGTGGTAAGTTTAGGTTGCACTTTTCTTCCAATTTAAATTCCTAATCGAAACCACAATGCGATTTGTATCATTCTCAGTCCAATCAGTCAAAATATATAGATAGATATATAGTCTTGTAGTTTGCATGTGCAGATTCGCTAACCCATTTATGTCTGTCAAAAAAGTATTCCTCCTAAAATCATGTTGTGTATATAAAGATTTTTTGTTTTTTTTTTAGAAGAAGCATTCAACTGATCGATATTGAAATTTAATATTATCTGAGATAATTGTTGATGTTGTTGCTTAAAAAGTTCCAATTAATTTCAAAGACAAATGTTTTCATGTTATTGTTGTTGTAGTTATATAGTAAGACCTTTAATGGGCATCGTCCAATAGGCATTCATGCGGTAAATATCTTGTCGGAAATAGGTTACTTAAGTTGTATGAAGGATAATGAGATGAAAACATCCAGATGTTTTCTCCTCCATTGGTCATCCTTTGCAAGGCTGAAAAAATCTCGGTAGTCTTACCTTCGACGCACCAGGAGACATAGGCGAAACTGATGTTTAACAAAACTTGTGATAGGCTCAAAGCGCTTTGTCGATTTATTAGTGCCTTATGATCAATTACAATATATAGGAGTTTAAGGTTCCAAAACGAATCGGCGGTCTAAGCTGTCCAAGTGAGCCAATTTTCCAACAACCGGTACAAAAACCACAATTATCTATAAACAGTTTTTGTAAAGGCTGCTCTCGTGCCAATCTTTCATCTGGTCCGTCAGTAACAGTTACACATATAAATTTTACTATCGATCTGTTGATATGCTCAACTCATCCTTCAAAAACTCCTTAATTTAGTTTTAATTTTTTTTAAATTTTGCTCACTAATTCACTAAATCATTTTTTACAGCGCTGCTCTTCGTTGGAACGACCACTTTCGGCCAACAATAATCGCAGCACCAACAATCTCTTACAGCGGCAATGCCCATCACCCATACCGGCTCACATAACGAAAGGTGAGTAAACACATTTCCCACACACTTCGAGAGAGTCTCGAGTGCTCATTCTGTTTCTCTAATTTGTGTCAATGTCTTTGCTAATTACCCAGTTATCCGAGTTTACTAATTACCCTGTTTTTGTGCTCTCTATTCCCTTCTCTTATGCCTAACATATCCTATGTACAAAAAATAATAAAACACACACACACACGCTACGCCGCCGCCGCCGCCCAACACACGCTCGCTCGCTCGTTCGCTTTCAATATGCCGAATAAAAAATTAAAACAAAAAAAAAACACAATAAATGAATTAACAACATGCTGCAAGCAGAGCTATCAGCGCATCATGCACAACAACACATGCAGCAGCAGCAGACACAACACAACAACTTTTGCAGACATCATCGCCGCCGCCCACATACGTCAATATGTCTGAGTTGGCCAATATGGCGGCAGCAAAAATTACTAACCAACAACAACAGCAACAGCGGCCAGTCGCCGCCCTGCAACAACAGCACTCGATCGACTCTATTTCCTCACAGTTTTCCAACGATTCGACTGCATCGGGCAATCAACAGTCACAACAACAACAACACCAGACCGGTGTTATGGTCAGCGGCAACAACAACAGCACCGGCAGCAAAACACGTTCACATTCCGTTTCCTCCTCGTCTGCCTCCTCGAACACACCATCCCTGCATTCGCATCCCTCCATAGAGTCCGGCACGATAGCCACACCACTTGTTGGCCAAACACCGACACCATCGAGCGGCAGCTCAACACCACAAAACCACTATTCACCACTGCTAACCAATTCGCCGTCATCAACGGCGGCTGGTACACCAAGTGGCGGCAGCGTGACGAGCGGCATGTTGAGCGGTTTCGTATACAATGTCAATTCACCAACGCCACCACAAAGTGGCACAGCTTCAGTCGATAGTGATGTGCTGAAGATCACCGAAACCGATGCAGCTGGTCAACCCACCATTGTACCCATACACGAAACAAATACACAGCAACAAGAAACAAGTAATGCCAATAACAATGCTATATGCATAGAGTCCCAAACCACACCCACCGAAACGTCCGAGCAAACCTGTACAAATGCCATCGATTCAACTGCGACAGCAAACGATACAGAATCTCCAACTATTGTAGAGAATGACGAACGTTCACGCGCCTCAGTGTTGCAAAAAGCCTCAATGTTCGAGAAACAGGCGGCTGCCGCAGCCGCATCCACCGCTGCGGTCACACCGGGACGCTCTACGGTCGAGGCCATATATGGCACGCGCCGGACTCCGGATGAGGTTTATCGCACGGCCAACCCCAGCATCGGTGGAAATCATTATCAACAGCCATCGCCACATCAGCAGCAGCAACCGCAACAACAACAGCAGCATATGGAGCAGCAAGAAGTGGGTGAGTAGGCATGGCGTGTTTGAGCTAACCGAGCGTCTGTTTCTAGGCGCAAACGAACATGAATTACTCTCACTGTTTGTACTCGTAAACACCACCTCAAGTGTACTCGTGCCTTCCAGCCAACCAGCACTACACTACATGCAACTTTTATTATGCATACAGAGACCCCGACCTCCCTTTATCGTAATCAAGCACTTTTGTTTACACAATTTGCAATCCCAAGCAGAGCCTCACCCCAACCCTCAACTACATTTGTATTAATCACCACCTATTTTGTCAAATTTATTTATTTATTTGTCCCGTGCGCACAAGGGTTAAGCTTAGAGGTGAAATAGTGGAAATTCGTAGTTGTAACGGAATTGCAAAAACAACTACTAAATTATTTCTTTCGATAATAATTTTTTTTATTAATTTTTAAATATAAATTATTTAATTATATTTATTTTTTTCCTTATTTATTAAATTTATTAATTTTTTTTTTTTAACAATTTTCTGTAGTTTTAAAAATTAGTGTTGGTCTGAATTTCGATCAATTAAGTATTTCAAAATTATTTCTGGGTTCCTATTGCTAAAAACATATTTTTATTAAAAAATATTTTACAATTGATTTTTAGTGGAAAAAAATTATTTAAATTATTATTAACTATCAAAAAAAAAATAAGAATCTAGTTACATTTGTCTTTAAATTTCAATATTAAAACAACACGAAATACCCTTTTTTATTTAAAACAGTATCGGAATACAGAACCGTTTAGAATTATATCGACTAAAAAATACATAATTAAAATTTTTTTAAATTAATTTTCTTAAAAAAAAAAATTTGAAGGTTAAAAAACAAAATTAAATATAAATAAAAGGTTTTATAGTACAAAATATGTATAAATATCTAAAACTTTGAATTTTTCAAAACAATATTTTATTAAAAAAGGATAAAATGATTTTTAATGAAACATACTAATTTCATTTAAAAAATGTATATATGTTATTAGGAATTTTAAAACTGTTTTTTAAATAAAATATATATTTTTTAATTTTTTAAAGATTTTTTAAACGCAATAATTTTTTATTTATTATTTTTATTAAAATAATTCATTTTGAATTAAAATGTTTTAATTATCTAAAAAATTGTTATATAAATATTAAAATATTTTCAATTCAAATTAGAATTTTTTTTACTAAAAGTAAAACAAAATAGGCATATTATTTTTAAAATATTTTTAATTGAAATTAATTTCTTTGATTACAGAAAAATAGTGCGTTAAATATTTAGAAAATGTTTTATTGAAGAAATAATTCTAATTAAATATACAAATTTTTTTTTTAATATTTATTACATATTATCATATATATTTCTTAATTAAAAAAGTGAAAGTGATAAAAATTAATTTTCCACTCAACATTTATTTATTTAAAAAGACATTCATATATGTATATGTATGTACATAAGTCTTAAGTTATTTTCATGTAAAATTAATTTTTTTTTATCTTAAATTAAAAAAGTTCTAATATTTCTTTATGTAAAAATAATTTCGAAAAATAATTTATTCAATATTTTAAAAAAAAAATTTTTGGAATTAAATTTATATAAACATTTTAAAATATATTTATGTAAATATATAGAAAATGTTTTATTAATGAAATAGTTCTAATTAGATATATTAAATTTTTTTATATACTAAATAATCTCATATATTTTAAGTAAAAAAATTAAAATCATAAAAACAAATTTTCCACTCAACATTTTGACCTTTAAAGCTAGCCCTTGCGTCCTTGTCTGGTTTATGTACATATATATTATATACCCTGTTTGTCTTTACTTTTGTTCAAATTTGTTGCCAACAAAAACTACAACAAATTAATTGAATTTTCTTTGTTTTTCGTTCTCCCCTTTTCTTTTTTCTTCCCCATTTTACCCAACATTAATAATATACCTTACCGTTTTTGTTTTATCACAAAACGAAAACAACAAAAACACATGAAACGGCACTATTATATGCATATTTCACAACTACGTGAACAACAAACACATGATATGTAAATGCAACAAAAAAATACACATCCAACAACAAAAAATGCCTCCTAATTTCTCAAAATGATTTCTTTGTAAAAATGAATGAAAAAATCTACTCTTACGTCAAACTTGCACTACATATCTATCTAAAAACGAAACAAAATCCAAAACAACAATGAACAAAAAACCTTCCACAACAAAATGTATATACATCCACACCAAAAACAACCACACTGTATCATGAACAAATGCAAATTTCTGCCGCACCAAAAACACAACAATTATTGCAATTTTCTACAACAACAAAACCAACCAAAACAACAACCGTACACCAACCACCACCACCACTACCGACCCAATTTTGTAGATAAAAGTTTTGAAGACTCGATCCAAGAATTAAATAATTTAATTGGCGAATTAGACTCGTTTCAACGCGAGATCGATGCAAGCAAGCGCGCAACAGCAACAACAACTGCCGTATCACAAGCAACAACTGCGGATGGGACTGTGGGCGATAATTGTGGGGATCGGCCCTTCCCCTTGATCGGCACGAGCAGTAACATCGTCGTCGCCGACAACAATAAGATGGGCAACAATGCCAAAGCAATAACAACATTAGCGACAGTAGTGACAGAAGCGGAACGCGTCGACATGACAACGGCATTAACCGTTATTTGCCCACCGCGTCCACCCAAGTCACCACAATGCGCGAGCAACCAAACTAGCGGCTGCGGCACTGATCTCTCCGACACCGCTTCCGATGATGTTGCCGCTGATGTCGGCTCGCTGACGAGCATAAATAACAATCACAACAACAATAACAACACAAAGGGTAGCAATAACAACGAACACAATGCCAGCTTGAGCAGCCGAGAGAGTTGTGCCACAGGCCATGACAATAACGTTCGCACACTGCAACAATACAATTCCGATTCGGAGCTGAGTCGTTGCTATGTAAGCGAAACGAGTTCGCTGGCGGGCGGCTACGAGAATCCCACTTTCGCGCACTTCGCCACAGCGGTGTCTTCATCGTCGATAGCCGCCTCGTCGGGCGTGGATGAGCCCGCCGATGTGGGCAGCGTTATCGGCGATAATCGCTCGTTGATGGCAGTGTCATCGACAACGACAGCCGACGATTGCGCATCGCACACCTCCGACACGTACCAGATGCCACAACAGGCTGCCGACAACGGCAGCGATGGCGGCAGTAATGTCGTCGTAATCTACGATCATCAGATACCAATGACGCCGGACATCGACTATGTCAAACAGAATTCCGAAATTGTCGTGCTGCGCACAAAGGATCCACTACAGCAACAATTGGGACGACAGGAAATGCGCGAATTGACACAACTGCCGACTAGTTTGTGTGCGCCACACGATGGTTTGGCCACACCGGGCGCCGGCATGATGTCCGTACTGGCCTTGTCGTCGTCGTCGTTGTCGTGCTTGGGACCAAACTCGCCACCGCACACCGCAACCGTAGCGCCTGCCAAACAGCGACTCTCCTCTTTCCGCGCCTCCAGCGAACAACAATTGCAGCTGCTCGGTTGTGGCGACAACAACAATAGTGGCAGCGAACTCTCATTGCTGCGCACGCCGCACCATCATCACCAGCAGTATGCAAACGCAGGTACGCCACAAGCGCAAACAGAGTGCAGCAAGGAAGGTAGTAGAAGGGTGGCAACACCACCAAATGCACACAACATGCACGCAGATACCATAATACGCCGCAAAGCAGCGATACCGCCACCCAAACCGAGTTTGAGTATATTCAATGGCCAAGCGGCCGACCATTTGAGTTTAGAGGCTAACGCCAGCGTGCGTAAGAGTAGTAGTAGTAGTTGTAGAGGTAGTTGTGAAGCGGTGGTAGAGCGGTTAACGGCTGCGCCCACACCGCCGCCACCGCTTTTGACGAAGGCCAATTTCAAGGCCGATTTAGATGCGAAAATTCGCAAGCAGAAGTTGAAGTTGCAACTGCAGCATGAACAGCGGCAACACCACGAGCTGTTGCTACAGAAGCAGCAATTGTTGCAGGAGCAACAACAATTACAACATTCACCACAATCAGCCGCCAACAACACAAATAGTTCAATATATCTTAGCAACCACAGCCACAACAACCTCAATCATAATAATTCCAACAACACCACTATAAACAACATCACCACCACCAACACCACAACCAACAGCGGCGTGGGCAATGGCCTTGGCAATCGTAATAGCAGCAGCGGCGCCAGCAGCAACACTCACAACAACAGCAATAACAATAATTGTAATGCAATTAGCTTAAATAAGCGCCGTTGTAGCACCGCTATGTCGAACGCAACAACAACAAAAACTACAACTGCATCTGCATCCGCATCCGCATCAAATCATTTGGCATTTGTAGTAAAAGCTGCATCATCCCATCACCATACCAACGCATCCGCATCATCCTCATTAGCAGGGCCACAGCTTGTCTATCAAAATGGTACTAAAAGTAGTAGTAATAATAGAAATATGAATAATAATAGTGATAGTAGTAGAAATGCATCAGCATATTCATCTGCATATCCTAAAACCAGTAAGCAAATCCATTCTAATCGTACTCATTATCAATTTCATGCGCTGAAATCACATAACAACAACAACATGAACAACAAAACTCACACCATCACCACCAACACCAACAATAATATTAATGCTAAAACACGCCCCAAACGTTCTGCCTCCATGTCATCTACACAAAAATCATCAAACGTCATACGCGCCTCATCTCCATCACTATCCACCATATCAACATCGCCGTCGTCATTATTATTATGCACGCCTGCAATTCGCGCGTCGACTGAACGCTTGGTAAAATGTCCACCAACACCGCCATTACCATTGCGTTCGCAATTGGTTGCACATCAAAAACCAAAACAACAACAACAACACGCACATATACACAATCCAACCAACAACCATTCGGTATTATCAACAACATCATCATCATCATCATCGTCATCCCCATCATCAGTATCTGTCTCCACCTGTGCCTATGCGTGTTCTTCCGCTTGTGCAACACCAACACCACCCACCATTCACACCAAACAATCAGCAGCATCTGCCTCGGTCTCGTCTGCATCTGCATCCGCATCCAACTCCAATATAAATTCCGCCAACGCCAAACCGAATATCACGCCGAGACCGGCTTCATTGTCGGGTTCGTTCGTTTTTTGACTCTTTCACATTCTTTTTGGTTGTTTGTTTTTGTCTTCTACTGTTTTACGTACTAATATTCTCACAAAGTTAACCGGCCTAATTTTTTCGTTGGTGCTTTTATGTTGTGTCTGTCTCTCGATTTTGTGTTCCGATTTCTCTCATTTGCTCACAAATTGTCCGTATTTCTTATGCTTTGTTTATTAACCAACTCGTGTGCTTTACTAAATATTATTTTTTGTTGAGTTTCTTGAACACTGACTTAATAGTAGTGACCAATTTTTGGTCTATCTAGAGAGATATTGCAATTGCAATCAACAACAACTTTACCTAAAAATATTGTATTGAGATATTCGGTGCCATTCGTGAGTTCAATTAATTTTTGAAGAGTTTCTGAAACACTGACTTAATGCAATGCTTTTAAAGCATATACTATATAAATTTGTTCATTTCACAAAAGCTTTTAAAAAATATAATATTTTGAATTGTAGTGTCAGAAAGTAATAAAAATCTATTTGATTTCAATACTCTTTACGCATATTAACCCGTTTTTAAACTTGATCAAACGTACTGAATATCAGTTCTTGCACTATTTTTCCGCCTTCCTTTTATCGGATAGTAGTGTCAAATCTTTTCGAGAATGTTTTTCATTGTTTGTATTACAACATTTCATACAGAACAGAATATTCTTATTTTTCTCAATATTTTCGTTGCGTAAAATTCTTCATTAAATTGCGTTACTATTTTCTCATGTGTTCTTTCTTCGAAGATGGTGTAGAGATTTAGATTTTTATTTTCGGTGTCGGTTGTCTAAATATCACTGCATAAAAACTAATAGCTTTTAATTTCACTAAATTCAATCGTTCATTCATTATAAATATTATATTTCATTCCATTCATATCCACATATATATTTATTCACTCACGTGAAAGAATTGGTCAATATTAAAGTATTTGACGCAGTGATATTATCCAAATCTTCAAATGCATTATTTGGATCGAAAAAAAAACATATTCTAATAATATCACTGGCCCAAAGACTTTTATATCGTAATGTTTTATTTCTTTCGTATTGACATTATATACCGTTATTGTTTTTATATTTAAATTATCATATTTTTACATTTTTTCATATAATTTGTTGTTACTTTTTAAGTTTACATAGAACCGTCTCTATGAGTAGTTGTTAAACTGAAGTCCCTGTTTGGAAAACTATTTTATTCGACAAGATATCTTCACAGAATTTCGCAATGGTTATTGTTCAAGGCAACGCTACAATATTCAAAAAATTGTTCAGATCGGACAACTTTAGCATATACGTGTCATTGAAACTGATCGATTAAAATCAAGATAAAGATCTTTGTATACTCGTTTATTCTATAGGAAATGCACATGTGAAGGATATTAAATTTTTTTGTGTAATATATTAATTATTATATTTTTATTCTCTTGCAACATGTTGCTACAGAGTATAATATTTTTGTTCATCTAACGGCTGTTTAAATCACCAAAAACTAATCGTGATAGATATAGGGTTATGCATATATAAATGATCAGGATGAGGAGACGAGTTGTAATCCGAGTGACTGTCTGTCTGTCCGTACGTCCGTGCAAGCGATAACTTGAGTAAAAATTAAGATATCTTGATGAAACTTCATACACGTGTGGCACTCAAGAGGGTATTGATATTGCAGATAAAGGTACTAAACTGTAATTTGGTACAGGGATTCCCAGTTTCCATAAAACATAATTTTAAATTACATCTGATTCTATCACTTTCCTGTATACGAATCAACTAAATAATTACAAGTGTTTAAGCCCCTTGCTACCGAATATGTAAACCCCAGTTCCTATTGCGAAATCGGTCGACCTGTCAGTTAGATTATTGAAATGCCGAAAAATGCGGCTTTGATCCTAGCAAGTTGCCAGATTATAAAACGTTCGGTTACACACGAACTTAGCCATTCAGTTTATTTTTTATTTTATTTTATTTTTTATTTAATCTATTATTTTACTTTTAATCCAGATGATGTTATTATTACTGTTATTTTCTCATTCTCTTGGATAATGAGTTAATACTCCTGTATATCCCAAACATTCCATCAGTCTCATCATATCATTTCCCTATTAAATATTCACAATAATTCACCCATTATATATTCATATACACACATTAACACTGCTTGTTTTATAACTCACTTGCCTAACTAAGCACCTACCACTTACACTCGTTCCCAAATTAAGTTGGACTAACTGCGTGGAAGAGGAATCGTGGAATCGGTGGTGTTAAAAAAAAAAATAAACCAAAAATTCGGCTTCAAATTTTATTTTAATATTCTTTAAATGCTTCATGTACGCAACTTTGGTGAAAAGCTAATAAAAAATTGGTGTCTACGAATTTTGCCAATTGCTAATTGAATTACATATATATGTTTATATTATATATACATAAATACATTTCTTGATAATTTTGCATATCCTGAATATGTAATTTTTGCAATTCTACATGTATTCCAAAATTCAGTTCTTTGAAATATTACTGAATTCAGTTAGCATTTTGGCAGCAAAGTAAATTTCGGTACTTCAGCTATGCATTTGGTTATGTCATTGTGTCAACTGTGCATACAAAGCATGTGTACATAACTTTAGTGTATATATATGTAAATACAAGCATATATGTACTACATGCATACATAATTTCGTATATATTATAAAAACACATCTATTATAATATACTCGTGTGATATGAGTAACTAAACCGGCCTGCTTAATATTATGGTGTCTTGTGTCTGTGCATCTAACAGTCAATACTACAAATAAAAATATATAAAAATCAATAACATATGCATATATATATATATATTTAATTAAAAAATGTATAGTATGACTATGGTAAATAACAAAATTTAATGGGAAATTCGAAATCATCTAATACCAAACAAAAATGTTCTCAACAAAGTCTAATTCAAATTTTGTTTTGTTGCAATAGGAGGCGTAACACGCATAGCGCGTCGCTCGTCGGTGAACACGGCCAAGCCACCGCCACCAGTGCGTCGCAGCTCATCGGTGACGCCAAGTCACAATGCCACCGGCACGGCGGTAAGTGAAGAAATTTCTTAAATATTATGAAAATTTTAATTTAAGTGAAAAAGTTAAAAGTTAGTTGTAAAAGCGAAAAAACTAGTTTAAGTATTTACTTGGAGGTTATGTATACAATGTACACGACACTAAACTACACACACTTTAGCTTTAAGCACCAATATTCATCATTAAAAAAGGAGTTCGTTAATTTTAGGAATTTTTTTTCATAAAGTTTTTTTTTTCAAAAAAGTTTTTTTTTATAAATAATTTTTTTAAAATTTTGTTAAACATTTAAAAAACAATTTTTTATTTTCAAAATTTTTTCTCCAATATTCATTTATTGTTTACTTTATTGCTACTATTTTGCAAGTTTTATTTAATCTTTTTTTTAAATTTCATTTACTTGCCACATTATCCTATGCTAAAATACAATTAGGCTACACAATCGCCACAACAAAATCAACAGCAGCAACAACACTATCAACACCTTCAACAACTTCATCATTTACATCCTCATGCCAACCAACAGCCAACGTTAGCTACGACAACAACAATACAAAATTCTCCCTACGATACCGTTGACAGTCTGCCACCCCCACCCGCTTATCTACTAGACTCAAGACAAGCACAATCGTCGACTCCCACACCGCCACCACCATCAGCTGTTTCAGCTACAGCAATACCGAGTTCATCATTGAAAGTTGCCGAAACGGTGAAGGCGTTATCGGCTATGCGACACAAACCCGCTTCCCCGAACGCGATACGGCACATGCAACAGCAACAACAACAACAGTTGCAGCAATCACATCAGTCGCTGCAGGTGAGCAAACGTAGCAACGTCCTCCAACGAATATATCTCCCAACCAATCTGGCATAGCAACAACAACTGTTATTTAGTTGAAAGCATTCCCCAACTGGTTCTGAGCTATTTATTTTTGAAATTTTATTTTACAGTTATTTATTTTTTCGCATAAAGCACTGATTTTTATGTGAATTTAAAAGAAATTACAGAACTTTGCAAAAAATGTTTCGTAAAGACTTTTAAATTTCGTTTCAAAGTTTCCAGGAATTTCCACAAATTTTAAATATTTTCTTTGACTTCATTTAAACATAAGCTGAGAAAAAAATTAAAACTTCTGTAATATAGTTCACTTTGTTAATTCGAATTTCTTACTTTTGCTGTGCATTTTGTTTCGAAAATTTAGAACAACCTGTTACTAAGTTTAAATAAAAAAATTTTCTAGACCTTGAAACAAAATAAAGTATTTTCAAGCTCGATATTAATTTTTGAATTGGGTTTTGAAGTCAAAAAACTATACCTTTGCTGGCAATTTTGTTTTCGAAAAATTTCTACCTTCATACAAGCTAACAATCTGCTACTAAGTTCGCAAAATGAATTTTTCTAGAATCCGCAGCAAGGTATTTCTAAGTTTGAAAACCATATTTATTCAAGTTAAGTCAACGAAATATCTTATTGTCAAACCTCAAACGTCTTTTTCTAACTCTTAACAAGCTCTTACTAAGTTTGAAAATTCTATTTTTCTGAACATCGAACAAAAAATAAAGAATTCTTAAGCACAACGTTAGTTTTCTAATACGTTTATGAAGTCAAAAATTCTTACTTTTATCAGTATTCTAATTTTAATCGACCACACTCTCTTATATTTGTATATATTTAATTTTTATTTTATTTCTATTTATTTATTTTTTCCTTAATTTACTATAATTTAACAAATATTTTTTATACTCACATCTTTTTTTACAAAACATTTATATTCAAATATGCAAATTGTGTGCGTTTTAATTTAAAAAAAAATCCAAACATTATATACACACGCACCCATCCGCTGGCACAAACTCTCCGCCCCTCTTTCTTAACACAAAAAAATCCAATCATCACCAAATGAATACTGCTTGCACCACCACCACTATACACCACCAAACAGTATTCGCCAACACCAACACCAACACCATCATCACCATCACCAACACCAACACCATCATCACCATCACCAACACCAATACAACTACAACAGAATATTTACTCTACCACTGTTAAGACATTCTCCTCTACTGCTTTGTTGCCGCCCGACTGCAACACTGAACAGACGCTTCATTACGATGCCTACTCGTACTATAATCCCTATATGGAGGTCAGGACCACCACCCAACTGACCTCTGCCAAAATGCCGCTTACTAATGCTAATCATGCTAATGACGCTAAAGAAGCTGCCTATCAAACTTTGCCAATAACACCAACACCTATTTATTACTATGATGCCGTTACCATGCAGCCAACAACAATGGCAACAACACCAACGAAGTCAAAACACTTGCAGTCCAATGCACTGCAGGACACGTATGGTGTGAACACCGCGCTTCGTACTACACCCAATAAGACAAACAATCCACCGGTGTCACCATCGTACACTTCACCGCCACCATACGATTTCCAACATAGTAAAATAGAGTTGCCACCACCATTACCGCCACCCAATCCTAATCAACAGCGTTCACTTAAGCAGCAACAACAAAAACAATTTGTTGATCACCAATACAATACACCAGCTACATGTACATTGCAACCATCACAATATCAACACAACAACAATCAGTTACAACCAAAACGCCAACATGAACAGATTTATGATTATTTGCCGTCACATCAGCACCTGCACTCCCCCAAGCTACAGCATAAACCGCAGCCACAGCCGCAGCAGCAGAGATCGCAAATACAACAACAACAGCAACTAGCACATAATTTAGACGCTCTCATGATCGATAATGAGGATGAGACAACCGTGTATAGCGACAACGCCGTAAGTCCAGCTTTGGTGTGATCCGCAGAGTCATTTGTACAATACTCTACTCTAGTGTAAACTGTAATGCATACTAATCAGCTTCATCACACCAACATGAGCAATAGCCGGCAAATTCATTACTGGGTGTCGTAGTGTTAACAAAATGCTTAAGAAAATTATACAAAAAAATATATAGTTTAAATTTTCAATAATTGTAGTGGAATCGAGCATAGTAATAACCCCATTAAAAAAACTAAAAACAAAAATTTGTACACGCATAACTTCACTAACAAGTCTTAATTCATTGCTTACGATTTTTTTTCCATTAATATTTGTTATAATAAAATTGAGTAACCTTAAGCTTAGAGCTTTTTTAAACACATGCTGCACATTTTTGTGAAAATTTTATTATTATAAGCATAATTTAGGACCTTACTTTCTTAAACACATCTGTATATGAATGTCCACTTGTTCGTTTAAGCAACATTTTCCAGATACAAAATAATTACTTAGAAAAGTTTTCCTGCTGTTTCTTAGTAACCGCACAGCTTTTAAGAACCCTCTCAGTTTAATCATATTTTTCCTTTAGATTATTTTTTTATATATGATTATTTCCAGGCCTTCTCTATACTCATCTTCTCAGGTATATAGAATGTGATTTGATAGCCCGATTTATGTAAATAAATCTAAAACTTTGAAAAAGTGATATTCTACTTAAAAATTTTTCGCTCTACAAAATATGTTTAATGATTTTTTTCATAAAAATATTAGAGGTATTCAGACCGAATATGTTAATCTGGTAATTTGTTAATTGATATTTTGTTAAAACACTTTACTGTGAACTTACTTTTTGCTTTATCTCAGTAGTGTGATATTGGTGAAAATTTTATTAAATAAATACTTATTTTTGAAAAAATGTCACTAAATTATTTTGTAGCGAGCAACAAATTTATATTTTCGCAATGAATCAAACTAAATTTTTAGGCTACGACGCAAAACAAACAGCTGATTTAATGCTACCAAGTAATAAAAAAATTATCAAGCTTGTCACACTGGTACTTCTTTACTCAGTAGAACGATAATCTGTAAATTTTACAAAAACAAAATGAACGTAAAAAGCTGCCAAATAACGACAAACGAATTACAAAAAGCTGGTGTGAATACCCCTTTTGCTTTAAAACTTATACGCTGTTAAAGTTAGACAGCAAATGACCTGAGCATTCCTACAAGTGATTTATAAATTATGTATTGCTCATACGACATGGTGTACTATATGAATACATTACATTTCATGCATAACTCAAATTGAGTATAACTGTTAAAGGAATTATAAAGACGTTTTTTGTAGAGCGGGCAATTTTCTATTCAAATATCGCCTTTTCAAAGTTGTAAATTTATTTGCTTTGGAGATAAGACATTATTGCAAAAGATCAAATAATCCCATATAAAATATATGGAAAAGTAAATTGATTTACTTTTTGTTTACGCTGGATAATTTTTATGGCATAAAATGAACCTTCAGGGGGCATTTGCAGAAAACAACATCTAAATAATCTACACACATGAAATTGTGTACATCATTTGGTAAAATAGGCCGTTTGCTGCTCAGTTATGACATTCGGCGTCAATTGATAGTTTTGAATGTAATTTTTTCTAATTCGCTGGAATACTATGTAATTAATACCTTTTCTCATATCATTAGTAGATTATTTTGAACATGATTTAGTATTCAATTTATTTATTTTTCATTAAAACAAATAGCAACTCAATAATGTTTTATTTATTTATTATTATTATTTTATTTGTTTAATTACAATAATTGAGTACACTCTAGATAATAGTTTTGCTCTAATAATAGCGTCAAACCATTAACAAGCTTTAATTAATCTTGATTTATAACTTTTCGCCGAAAAAAATGTATATGTAATAATAATTATTTTTTATTTATTTTTAATTTTTTGTTGTTATTTTTTTATTAATATATATTATTTTTCATTTTTTGTTATTATTTTTTATTAATATTTATTATTATTATTTTTTATTAATATTTATTATTATTTTTATTTATTTTAACTGTTTCATATTAATTTTTTTTCACACATTAAACTGTTAAAACTTGGATTTTATTACATATCTACACTATATATACCGTTACTAAAACTATATGTATTAAAAATGTATTTTATATTTTATAACTTATACAAATAATTAACTTATCTAATTGCAAACTCATATTAACACACCATAAATACATACACAAATATTATACATACATTATGACAAAGCACAATCACCTATGTATACTTTAATATTACCTGTTGTAATTTACTATACAACTACAACAACTAACACACTTGCATTCATACACACACATATGTATTGTATATATGGACGTAATTATTTGTGAAACTTGGTCATGTGATTAATATCCTGGCACAAAGGCATCAATCAATCAATTAAAACCAAAACAAAATGTCCATTAGCATTAACTGTTGTTTTCCATCAATCACCAACATCATTGCTTCCTTTCGATGCTCGATAATCATTTATGCTTTTATTATATTTTCTTTCCATTTAGTCATTCCGCACTTCATCGCCCGGTATTTATGCGCAGCCGAAAATAGTCACAAGCATGTCGAGTTTCCGTTCGGCCAGTCCGGCACCAACGAATGATCATCACAACCAGCACCATCATGTCATACCACCAACACAACCGAAAACCAATCCGAATTTGATTGCACAGCTGAGTGCGCGACTTAGCAAACAAAATCAACAACAGCACACCGGTGATGGCATTTATGGTTCAACACCGAATTCACCAAATCATCACAATATGCACCAACAACAACTACAACAACAGCAGCATCAACACCAGCATCACCAAAGTGAACCAGTCTATATGCGGAACTACACGCATCCTCACCATCAACAACACCAGCCGCATCAGCAGCAGCAGATGCCGTCAGTCGCCACCGGTTCGATGCATCAGCAGCAAAACTATGACGGTAAATCGAATATAGAGAAACATAATAAAATTTATGGTAGTTTTAGCACTGCAAATGCCACGCATACAGCACAAGCATCAGCCTCATCATCATCATCATCATCATCTGTTACTGTCTCTGTATGCACAACCACACCATCATCATCAACCCATTTCTCACATACATCATCATCATTATTATCATCTTCATCAGCGACCACCACCACCAATTTCAATGCTTCACCACATTTTCCATTATCATCTTCAACCTCATCGCTACTCTCTAAAGTCAGTTCGTTTGCAAACAATGCCGCCTCAACGGCCGTTGCACTCGCAACACCAGCACAAACACAAACGCAAGCTAGCGCTTCAGCCACATATTATCATACGTCCACGCGTGATCATCATCATAATCAACAACAACAACATCCACATCATCATCATCACCACAATCAGCATAGTAATCAGTATCAGACCGTTACATCGCAAAATGCAGCACAAACGCCTAAAGAGCATATGCACACAAATATTTACACTTCCTCCTCCTCCTCCTCCTCCATCAACTCTTCTTCGACTACTATCGCCGCCACTGCCGCTCAAATTAACGCCAATAAAAACGTCACAGCTGCGCAGACGCCCAAGCATCAGTCGTCTTATGCACATGCCGGTGGTGTCGCTAGACAGCAGCAGCAGCAACAACAACAGCAGCACCATTCGCATCATCGCGAGCCACACACACACAGCTGCCCGCCGCCGCTTGAAAATCCACCGCCGCCACCCACAAACTCATCCATTTATGCTGCCACTGCCAATGCCACCGCGACCATGCCCAAAAATGCAACGCGCTCGAATGTAAGCGCCACCTATGCGCCGCCCACCTCTACCATGACATTGCCTAAGAATCTCGCACAACAACGTTTACAGCAGCAACAACATTATCAGCAGCAGCAACAACACTACCAACAGCAACAATATCAACAATCTATCGCCACCGGCGCCAACGCAGCCGCTCAGCAACACCATCAGGCACAGCAACATTCCCAGACGACTACTGTTAACCAGCGCGCACAGATGCCACTGCCATACCAACAACAACAACAAATGTCCTACAAGCAAAAATCGGCCACATTGCAGAGTAACCACCGTCAACCGCCCATACCGTCGCGTCACTCTAGCGTACAGCAAAAGATATTCGTGGCCACCAATCCGTTCATCCAAACCACCACAATACATTGTCACTCGCCCGCGTCGGTGCATTCGCAGCCGGCTTCACCCACCTGCTCGTCGCCGTCGTCGTTGGCGAGCATTTATGGCACCAGTTCGCGCAGTCATCATCACCATCACCATCAGCAGCAGCAACAACAACAACACCAACATCATGGCAGTGGCAGCGGCGTCGGCGGCGGCACAGCCGGCAATGGTTTCTATGCCGCCCCGCACAATTCAAGTGAGCGCGCGTTATTTGTTTTTGTCTGCATCCAGTCACGTGCTTTCACAAGCGAATTTTTGTTTCATTTTTCATATCGTTTGGAGTTTTGAAATTTTGTATTTTCGACTTTGAATGTCTTTTGAGTTGGCTGTCTTGAGTTTTCGATCCAACAACCTTTTTACTTTGAAGATCACCATTTATATATCGTGACCGAGGACAACGTTGCATGCCGCTTCTGTATTTTTTTTTTTTTTGTTTTGCATATTTTTCACGGTTTTCCATAGTTTTTTGCTTTTGTCATTTAATTTTTCGTTCGTTTTTATTTAAAAGCTGCAACGCGCATGAGTATATTATGTACATACGACCCGCCCGTGTGAGAAAACGTGTTGGCGCTGCATTTTGTCCCCTCGTCCCCATCGTCTCCATACGGTACAGCGTTCTTCTTCCAAACTCTATTTTTCAACTCATAACCCCTTTTCAAATCATCAATTGCACTTAGAGGAGTAATGAAGTTGTTGTAATACCCATTTATTTGTAGTTGCTCATGTTTATTTTAATGCAATATTTTGTTTTAAGAGAAATTACTTTCCCTTTGCTCAGGTTGAGTCTGTAGTGTGTATGATATTCCTTTATCTTAAACCCTAAATTTATTGTTGTTGCTTTTTGTTCTTGACAAACATCACAATTAATCACTTGGTGAAACTTTTTTTTGTTCCTCAATTATACTATTCATAATTGTTGTTGTAAAATGTAAAACAAACAACTGAAGTGCCACTCCTCTTCGCCGTATATCATTCCGAGTCTACTGTCTTTCCAGAAAACGTCCATAAGTTTGTCTGTTCTTATGATTGATGTTGTTGTGGAAGCGACATAAAAAATTCCTGAAATAATTTTGAAGAATTCTGCCGAGTTGACAGCTGGCTGGATAAAAATCCGGGTTCGCTCCGGTCACGTAGGAACGGTTTGGTGGGATGAGCCTTCCCAAAAATAGGAAGACCTACAAGTTATAAGCCTAGTAGATTAATCTATTCGAGGAAAGCCTTATTATAGCACGTTGAACGTCAATCGCTATTAGAAAATATTTTATGTTAAGGTAGAACCGGCAAACTAGAGAGAGGGACATTGCGAAATCCTCTCTCACTTCGACTGCTTTCCTGATAGCTTGTATTACTGCGTCGCGGAACATTCTCCTTGCGGCATCTTCTCCACGCACATACCTTCGAGAGATAGGAGAATGAGAGTGGAGGAGAGTCGCTGGAGAAGAGGCGCAGTGAGCTTTTTCACGAATGGATCGAAGCTCAAGGGAAATGTTGGAGGGGTAGTCTTCTGTCGCTCGCTATCAATCAACTCTTGTTTCAGACTGGTTGCGTGGTGGAATCGTCGGAAATTGTAAACCCGAAGAGCTTGCAAGAAAAGGCACCTAAATTCCATCAGGATGGGCACGAGTTGCGGTTCCGCTATCTTCGTGCATTCGGGCGAGCTCAGCAAGCGTTGGTCAGCAATCAGCACTTGTGGTGTAGCGAAAGCTTTCTGGCCGAGAGTGGAATATAAATTGTCCATTGAACTGCTAGCTCTTAGCAAAGCTCACATCGCCGCAATGATAGGCGCCCTAACTGAATACTGTCCCATTGGCACTCACGCGGTGAGGCTAACGATTTTGGAGGACACAACATGTCAAAGATGCAATGAGGAAGATTATGAGCAAACATCTAAACGAATAGATATTAGCCGCCTCAATAAAGTTTGTGGCAGGCTCTAGGCGTTTTATAAATATGTGATGGTCTTTTTGATTCATACCTGTCAGTTCTGGGCATCACAATAGGCAAGCGTCTTTAGCAGACCAAGTGAGATTATTCGTGACCTAACGAGTAATCAGCATATTTACATAACCTCACCTAACCTTCTGAGATTAAATGTTAATATAATAAAATGGAGTTATTTAAATATAGTGATCTCTGCACTGAAACCCTCGATAACTTTTAAGTAAATATCTATTTAATACAAGTTTTAAGGTTTAACCGGATTACATCAGTTACAACGTCATTTTGGATTCTTTTCAGCTTTTTTTTCGAATCATTGATTTTTAATTTTTATAATTAAAATTTAAATAAATTTTAAATTGTACACAAATAACCAATTATGCTTATGTAGCGATAATATGTTTATATAAACTTTTTGTTTATGGTTATAGAGTTAAGAAAAGTAGAAAAGTTGACAAATATTTTTTTATTGGTTTGTAATGCACTTTTTTGCGTTTTTCTGGCATTAAATCATGTGTATTTATATATACCATACAAAAATATATAACTCATTTACATATCTTAAAAATAAAATACAAATTTTATCGCATTGTATATATTTAATTTATTATATTTATGTATGTATATGCTTTTAACCACAATTTTTTCTATAATACATACATATATGTACGTATATGCATATACATATTTCAAGTTTCTAATATTTTACAATTATTTTGTTAAATTGTTGCGTTTGTTAATTGCACTTTTTTACAGCTATTTTGCCATGCATTATATATTTTGCATATCTACCATATACTGTATTTTATTTATATTTAAACATTGCGTTCTGCATTTTTTTAAAATTATTTTTGAATTTTTATTGCTTTAATTTTTTAACATGTTTACAATTTTTTTTTATACAATGTAGCAATATGGCTTTAAATAATATCAATTTTCTTTGCATTTCTTCTCTTCACACGTTTTTATGCATTAACTCACTTCTACCAATGGCTTATTTGCACCTACAACAATCATAAATGAAACACAAAATATTGGAAAATATTACAAAAAATTGCGTAATTGGCAAATATTTGCAACACCAACGCTTCGCAATAAAATCAACGCTACAAAAATCATGCACCACTCTGAATTGGCCAACTACAGCGAGTTACGCCAGCTCAAACATTGAGAAAGCCGGCAGCATACGCTCGAAAACCAAAGCTGAATTTCTCGAAAACCTCAACGCCAAGTTGGCCAAACAAGGCCTATCCGGACGCGCCTTCGCTGTGCGCAATCTAATCAATAGCAAAGCATTGGTAAGTCTTGCACCAACAATTGAATATCAAAAAAAGCTAAACAAATTGGTCAAACAATGCTTTGGGTATTCATATTATTGTATTATAAAATTACTATTTATCTCTTTAATTATTTTTTTTTTTTTACTATTATTTTATACATAAATATGAACATGCATTTTGTGCATTTTGAAAATCGCTTGTTGTCCACCCGCATCCATTCCATTTTATATCTGCCTATCTATTTCTATATATACGTTTGCATATGTATGTATATGCCCCTCCCGTAGATGTATCAAAATCCACAAACACTTATGCGTCCAAGCGCACAATATCGCGCACAACCACAAGCACCGCCGACACCGCCAACTTCCTCCGCCGAAGAGTCCTCGTCGCATTAAGGTATTGTGCAGTGAATGCGAAAAAGTAAAAACAAAAAAAGAAATAATAAAAATTTGCTAAGCTCTGTTATGCGCTGCGTCTAATCAAGAATTAATTGAAAATATTTAAAAAATAATAATATTTATGGCAAATATTTAGAAACGCTTTGCATTGTTAGCGCTACTAATTTCTTCATCCACAAATACTCGTAAGAGACGTTTATATAACAACGCATAACCCATTCGATTTTTGCAGTGGAAACATGAATTAAAATAATTTTAATATAACTATACAATAAGGTATATTTTCGTAGCACTTACCGCTAAAAGGGTTGCCATAGTTATAAAAAAACTGCATATTCTGCAATTTGACTGGCCCACAAAAATTTGTTATTACCTTCGAGAATTTCCTTTTTCAAAGTTTAAACATTTTCATAGCGGTTTGATAAGTACATAGTCTTCACCGACCAATGTGTCCTAAGAGCTCTTGGCAGTTGATGCACAGTCTCTTCTACTTCAATGGCGATCGTCAATAATTCCATAATTGTTTTATCAAAATTCAACGTCGTCACGATTTTGAGTATCCACATCCAGGTGTCTCGAAAACGGCCATTACAGAGGATAACGTGACAAAAGTTCACGATTTCGTATTATCAGAGCGCCGTTTAAATAAACGCGAGATAGCTATCGGCGTGATGAATGAATTTACGCTATTCATGCACATGCGAAGGTGTATCTATCTGCGCTGTTTCGGGGCCGCCGACAAAACATGAATCTTTTGGTAGACATCAGACACCCAGGAAGAGTCGTGTCATAACAGTGAACTTGACCCAGTGAAATGCTCCGAAGAAGGTGAATACTATCTTACCTGCCCGAAAGGTGATGACCAATTTTTTCTGAAATTCACAGATTGGATGCTTTGTAGACCTCCAGAAAACCTATTTTTCAGACGAGTTAGAGAAGTTTGAGTTTCGGTGAAAATGTTTAAGCATTCAGGTGTACCGCACTAAATACTTGTAGTTCGCTTGAGAAATAAATCAGGCTTTTTTTTTAAATTTCGTTTGTCTTTTGTAGACTGACTACTTAACGGCCCAAACTCGTGTATGCATAAATATTAAAATTATTTAAGCGTATCAAGAAAAATATCGCTGATTTTTAACCCTATTTGAGTCAAGGATATAAGCCTTTATATTACGTATTTAGCAATACCATTTTATCATTTTACATCCTTTGTTTTTATAGAAAAGCCTTCTGAAGTTGTAGATCTAAATAATCAAAGCTACCATCGTCTACTTATTGCTTGTATGCTAATGTATACATAATATATAAATAAATAATACAAATTTTTATTTGATATATAACATACATATTTATATATAAATGTACCTACGTACATACATATGTATATGATATGAAAAAGTTATAGTTATTAAAAGGCATCACTTAGCAGCAGAGTTGCAAATAGTACAGTACAAAAATTATTAAATTAACTTAAAAATTATTTTTGTAGTCCCGAAAATTTAAATTAAAAATAATTTTCAAATATCTGATCCCAAGTATCGGATTGAAAAATTAAAAATAAAGTATTAATCCCAGAAACCGGATGAAAAGCGCGTGCGTACTCCGTGTTCTACAATTTTAAACCAGAGCTTGCACAACAGAGCCATCATCTTCAATACTCTAGAGCAGTGGTTGGTAAACTTACACATTCAAACGGTACACATTTTGTCAATTTGATTTAAGAATTAAAAACATAAAAAATTATTCAAATCAGAATTAAAAGTTAAATGTTCAGTTTTAAATTTAATTTTTTTCAATTTAAATTTTTAATCTCAAACATTTTTGTATTCGCTGTAGTATTCCAATTCCAATTTAGAATTCAAAAATTCACAACCTTGCTTAGAAGACATTTTCAGATTTACAAATAAACAGAAAATGGATTTAGCTTTCAATAACTGCGCAAACGCATTATGTAATGTTAATAATAATATCTTCATATTCCACGAAATCCACATCTAATAAGTTTACATATAACATGCATACATACATAAATACAAACCAACTACTAACTTATTTTGTTTTGAAATTAACCTCAAACTAATTTTGTAATATAAATATAACCTTTTTATTGTTAAATTAAACGAATAATGTAAATCTTGTAAAAACTTACAGCCCGATCCCCGCATTTGCCATGAATCATTAATGGATCAAATCAAACGCGGCGCCACGCTGAAGCGAAATCAGAAAATCAATGATCGCAGTGCACCGAAAATCCACTAAAGCGCTTAAACGAGTACGAGTGAGATGCCGATATCGCAGTCAACCAAACGTGAGTCCTTAATAAACTCAATAATAACCATGAAACAGGGCCAGTGCAGGGGAAGAAGAAGAAGTAAGATAATAAATATGTCACGCTTCTTTCTTTTCTCTTCGTGATTCTATGGCCGACGCTTTGAGGCTCATCCGAACATTTAGACTGTTGTTGTCGTCGCTAATGAGGAATTACGAATAATTATTAAACAATACATACTTATATATAATATATACATAAATAAAAATTACTATATAAATACAATACATATTGCAGTTAGTTGTAAGCGAAAGAGAAAAGAAAGTAACATACACTTACGATAATTTAAAAATGAATTTCCATACAAGAAAAGAAAAATTAAATATGAAGAAGCGATGAAGAAACCTACATAACAATAAGCGTGAATTAATGAAACTGTTCCATATCCACATTCATATTAATTTCAAAAATATATATACATATTTATAACAATCAACTAATAATTATCATTTTGACACAAACTCTGCTCTAGATACATAACTACAATTGCTTATGTATGTGTGCCGTTATGTGTGTTGTTGATGGCAAAAGTCTGTCTTATTTTTTTTTTGTTTATAAAGTAACTTTTCAACTATTTTTTATATACAAACGTGAAAAGTTGTATTATAAATAATGTTTTTAGACTTACTATTGCTTTGTATGTCACACACACATATGCAAGTATATTTCTGTATCGCAGTATGTTTGTGCGTTTGTTCATAGAACGAATTTTTAACTACCTTTACCATTTATGCTATCGTAATGCAGTTACTTCTTTTATTTTACAACAACAATGTAAAAAGTAATAACCGTGAATATTTCTATTTTTTGTTTACTATTTACTACAATAAGTATACCTTATACATACATACATAAATACATGCTTTTTCACATATACGTAGTATATAAAAAAAAATATGGTATATGCATATTATTATACAAACATATACACAAAGAACCGTTTGAATGAAATAATATCCGCATTTTCCGCATTAAAGAAGAAAACTCGAATTTTTACCAAAAATTTAAAAAAATAATAATAATAATTTAAAATATAAAAGTATATAAATTGAAGCATTAAATGTATGTAAGGCATTTAGAAGGAAGCTTGAAAAAGGCACTTGATTCGCATTGTTTTTTTCTTTGTTTATAAAATTTAACTAAGTTTCTACCTTAATTAAATTACTCTATACATACATACATATGCGCCTACTTTCATAATTTCAACTTATATAATTTAACCTTCGAATGTATATATCGTCTTTGCCGAATTAAAATCGATATTTTAATTAGTAATGTATTTACTTTTTATTAATTATTAATTTATACATACATATATTATTATTATGATATTTAAATGAATAATATATTGAGAAATATGCTGAATAAAGAATTTAATTGAAATTGTTCCGTTTTTTTTATTTTTTCGTTAATTTATGTATGTATATAAATATATATGCGTATAATTAACCTATTTACTTTGAAGTTAATTTTGTATGAAATATATATTATTATATTATAATTATTTTAATTTTATTTATATAATTTGTATATCTCCTGAACAGTGTATTATTCGAAGTTTGTAACACTCAAAAGGGAACGTCCTCTGTCTGTATGTCTGTCTTATCGATTTGAAATTTTGAACACTGCCTTTTCTCCCCAAGAAGCTGCTCATTTGTCGGGAGCGGCGATATCGGACGACGATAGCATACAGCTGTCTTAAAAACTGAAAGATCAAACTCAAGTCCCTATATGGACAACTTTTTAATTTGAAAAGGTATCTTCACAACATTTGGCACACATTGTAATCCAAGGCATCGCTATAATCTCCGAATTGTTCAAATCAGACAACTATAGCATATAGCTGCCATACAGACTGAACGATCAAAATCAAGTTCTTGAATGACATTTTTTTTATATTTGAAGGGTATCATAGTTTCGGTGCAACCGAAGGTTACATTTTTTCCTGTTTTTAATTTTTTTATGTTTTTTTTTTTGTTTTTTTTTTGTTTTTAATATTGTTTTTTTACCTCATTTACATATTTTACAACAAAATATTTTTATATGCTTAAATTGTACAAAATACTAACTTTTAGGTATTTTAAGTTTATTTTGTATAAAGTACACTAAGAAATTATTATATTATTATTATTTTACAAAACTATTAGTATAACAATTTTTATTTTAATTATATAAATTTTTTTTACGACAAAATTATATTTGTATATGATTAAATTATGTTAAGTATTATTAATACTTTCTTTATATACATATTAAATTTGTGTTTATTTAATAATCATATCAATTTTTTCTTTAAATGCACCTAACAACTGTAAATTTAGCGCGAAATTATTTTTGCAATTATAAAAAGTGGTTTTATAAAAAGAACTATTAAATAAATATATATAATAATAGAAATAATAATAAATAGTCGTAAACTTACATACATATAAACTAATAGAAATGCTTAACATATTTATGTATAGTAGATATACATATGTACATGTACAGACATGCCCCATAAGCAATTATGCATAACAATAATAATGTTAAAGTCAATTGTGCTTAACAATTTGTGAAACCACCTTTTAATGGCGCACTTGCCAACTTTTCTAAATAACAGAAATTTTTTTTACTAATGTATGTGTGTGTATTTAATAGCTTATAGCTTGCTTGTGCTTCACAAAAATAAAACATATTAAAAAACTGTAAACAACATTAAATTTGACGCTAAAAATGCATAAACGTTGTCAAAATTCAAACACGACTGCCAAATTGATACTATTTCAAACGATTTTTCGTCTTATCTATGTGTAATCGTCTAATTATATTCATAAAAAGTAAAATGGACTCATCATATCAGCACTTCTTGCTAAATATTTTCAGTGTTAAATAATTTAAAGGAAAAAATTGTTTTAAAAATGTTAAAAAGTCACGCAAAGGTGCGTAAAGATTTAAAGCTGTATGTTAAAGGGGGTAGTAGGGTTAATTCATGTAAAACAGAGCCCATTATTATAATTTGTTTTACGAAACAATTAAGATCTATTTTTTTAAACCTATGGTAGATTATGCTATGACATTTTAAAAATATTTTATTAAATTTTCATGGAGAAATATTAAAAAATACGGCAATACGAGCAATTAAGCTGAAGCGTATCGGAAGAGTGGAATTACGGTGCCCCTCATAACTCGGTGCTAGATCATCTGAAATCGAAAAATGAGTTTTTAGAAACACTTCCAAGGGAGAAACACGATTTGTTATTGTAAAATGAAACATATTAACAAATTTGAAGAAAGAACTCTCCAGCGCTATCTCTTAATTTTTATACAAATACTTTTTAACATTTCAAAACGACAACGTTAGTTTTGAAGTTATGAAAGGCAACGACTTCAAAAATGGGAGTTGTGGAAAAAACGCTTTAAAGTGTTGAAAACTGATGTAATATCGATCGACTTGAAATTTTGACACAACATTCTTGAGATAATATGAAAAAAATAAAATTAAAAACCCCCTTAAGGCATTACTTCATTTATTTATATTTTAAGAATTTGAAAATTTCGAAAATTATCTAACTAGACTCTAAGAGACGCACAAGTATGAATTTTTATTTGTAACGACTGAAAAATAATTTTAATTTCTATAAATCGAGTGTTTGATGAAAGCAGAAAGTTTAATTCTGGTTTAGAGTCATGAATTAAGGTAAATTTTTGAAGTTTCGTAAAAAAATGCAATTAATATTTGCACCATCCATTTTTTATTAGTTATTTAATAACATTACAAGAATACACATCCACGATTTCAATCCTCCTAACAATCTGAAATAATATCGCAATGTCTGGTTCTACGAGAATGTTGTAAAAAATTGTTCACGAAATGGCGAAATGAAATGGAAATTTTTGACTGCTTTGAATTTTTTAAAAATAGTAAAAATTTAAATTTGGTGATATGGATAGTTGCAGATACAGACAAGTCTATAAACACGACTCTCTAAAAATTTCAGGTAAATTGATCAAGTAAAACCTGAACAAATCGTAGGTATCGTTTTGAAAAAAACGCGTTTAAAGTTTTGCAAAATGACTGAACCAGTTTGGAATCCGTTTGTAGACAAATTATTGAATAATTAAACTTGAAAATATAAAACAAAATCGATTTTTTTCTAGAGCAGAATACCAAAATATTATATGTTTTTGTGTTATTTATTCGATATTTTATTTATATACGATATTACCAAAAGCGTCATAATAACACTAAAGAAAAGGATGTGAATAACGCCTACAACTACACAACCAAACAAATTATTCATTAACCAATCGCCAAGCCATTTCATACATATAAATTCATAACGTTTGATATACAATTACAATGTAATTGCTAGTATATAAAACAATACATATAATGTATTTTCAAGCAAAAAAAATAGTTCTTCGATTAAAAAGGCATATTTCTACTAAGTCATTTTCATATCTGTTACAATCAAAACTTCTAAAAAAAACTTAAAACAATAACATTTTGTATATATTAATTTCTGTATTATCATTTTAGTGGAACCTAACTGTTAAATTACAATTACTAGATGTACTTATTTATAAATGTGTGTGTTTAAATGAAATTGTATGAGAAAGTTCAATTTGCTACAGTTGCCGCGGACAATATGAGCGTTAAGACTATATGCAGTTGTAAAAACAACAAAGACGTACGCTACGTAGAAACAAGCCAGTAGAAAAGTGTGTACTTACCGAATATCAAACATAAGCAGCCAAGCTATTAATTAATTGCTGCTCATACAGCCTGCAGACACTCAACTGCAAGGATAAACGCTCATACATGCGTAATACTAAAATATAGTAGACTATATGAAAGACTTATAATCGAGTTAAGCTATGAAAATGCCATGAATCATACTCGTACATACATACTTACTTATATAGATACATAACTACCTACTTATATATAGTATACGTATACTATTCTAATCTTATCGATTCAATTAAATACCAATTATATACAATATACATACATAAATACATATTATATAATATACTTGAGAATATAATCTACATATACATATACAGATTCCTATGTGAAGCAAATTATAACAATAACTGCAATAATTTTCAATAAAAAGTGTTTTTAAAAGGCGTTTGCATTTTTCGTCAAATCCTTTAAGAGTTAATTTTCCATTAAATAATTTCAACACATACATACACATACACACACATTTACTTTTTAATTTGTTTTAATTTTTCTTTGGCCAGCTCTATTCGTAGATTTCGCAGGTCACTCGCTTCTTTTTCGCGTTTCTTCAGCAACTTCAATTTATCCAACTTCAACCGGTACAGTTTATGCTGGGTGCTATGCATTTTTCTGAGCGTACGCAGCATTTCGTTTTGCTTTTCAGCCATAACCTCGAGTAAATGCATTTGCGCTTCGGCTGTTCTCAAACGTTTGGTTGGCGGCGGTTCAGCGTTTTCAGTGTTTTCAATGATTAGCGACGATTCAGCAGTTCGTGGAGGAGTTTCGTTGCCTTTCGTACTCACGTCGACGAACTCGGTTGTATTCGGGGAAAACAAATCCAGTTTTTTTGTAATTTCATAAGCTTTTTCCTCAGTTGCAGAGAAACTGATTTCGCGGAAAACGCCAGGATCGTTCGCCTCTAAGATTTCTTTATTTCGCGCCAACTTGCGTTTTAGGTTAGCTTTGTAATGAATCCACACCTAAGTAATATATGTATGCAGAAGAAATAAGCGAATTGTTTGTTTTTCGTTTTATTGCGACTCACTCTTTGCCATTGTGGTCCTGTTCTTGACGGCGGTCCTAGGCTATTCAGCTCGGCGGCAAACTTCTCCCAAGTTTTTTTTGATTCTTCACGACTAGTGCCATGTATGCGTCTATTTCTGGCAACGTTGGGATTTTTTCTAACTAAATCGACAAGGCGGTCTATTTGTTGCTTGGTTGATACTTTACTGCAATTATAATTTCTTAATTAAGTATTTATATTCCTAAATGTTATTAGAACAGATTGCAAATAAAATAATATACAACTTAAGTATATATATATATATTTCTAGTATTTTCTTGCACATACTTTATCCTTTCCATTTTTCCGTTGACAGGCGTGTAAGCAAACTAATAAACCGTGGTTATATGATTTTGACAGCTCACATACAACTTAATGAAGACAACAGCGTTGAGTTGTGAACAAACAACTGGCGTTTTGTTTTGACAACTACCGTTGCAACTAAACAACTCAATTGTGAATCATAACAGGGGACCACGATAAATATTGCATATACACTTTACATTATTTTAAAATTGCATTTTAGAAATGGCAAAAGCATATGGAATTTTAATAAACTAAAGAAAAATGCTTGAAAGGCAAATATTAATTTTTATTAAAAAATGCAAGTAAGTATGCTAATGCTCCAGCAAGTTGAAAAAAAATTTAAGTTAAGTTTGTCGAAAATGACAATAATATATATAAAATGAAAAAAATTATACTAAAAATGCACAGCTGAGCTATTTAAATTAAAATGAGCTCCAGTATACAAAAAAATTGCGGTTGGTCACCTCGGTTCATTTTGACGACGGCTGCGGTGTTGAGAAATTGTACGATTCTACCAGGCGCACAGAATGGCACAGGACGTGCCGCACACAAGAATTTCTGCGCGCATGTGTGTGTAACTTGCCGCCAGTCAGCGAAACTATTACATACTTTTAGGCGTTATGGTAAGTGTGAACACTGTTATGCCGACAACGGACTGCATAGCCAACTTTGTATTTAACAGCTGATGGAGAGAAACCAAACATTTTTATGCAATTTTAAACATTTATTTCTCGCAATAATACGACTATAAATGCTCACTTTTTACTTTTATTAAAGAATAAATTCAAAGTGTTGTCGAAGTAGATTTCGGCAAGTTCGGTAGCATCCCGTTCCTTCACCCCCGCAATAACTTCCAGCACTTGACTGGAAGTAATTAAATAAGTTATTAATTATAGCTGACATTTGCTACCTGTAAGCTACCCACCTTATTTGACATGGCTCACAGCGTCCGTCCACCAGTGTCTCCGCTGTCCATTTCTCTTTTTTCTTAACTGCCGCAAATTTGGTTTTCACAAATTTAGAACCCGCATGCGATGGTCTAATGCCGCACCACGGACAATCTGTTTCTAACATAATGCATTCGTTGGGCAATTCTTTCACCACTTCTAAATTTTCTGGCGTCTTTAGGGAACAGCCATTTAAGCCGATGTAAAGACCACCGTAAGCGATTACTTTTTCAGCTTCTTCTAAAGTACCATCAAAACTATGCACTACACCACCTCCACACTCCAATAGCTTGTCTCGATTACGTTCGAGTATTTCCATGAAGTCAGCGTGTGCACTGCGACAGTGTAGGAAAAGTGGCAAGCGAAATTCAGCTGCCAAACTGAGTTGTTTTTCGAAATACTTTTTCTGCATATCTTTCTCACAGAAATGCAGCCTGTCATAGTCGAGTCCACATTCACCTACAGCAATTACTTTGTCTGGATTTTCACGAATTTTCAAACGTAAGCCCTCATAATATTGCTCCGGGTTGTTCGAGAAATCATTGCAGCGTGTTGGATGACAGCCCATTGTAACAGTCAGGCGATCTGTGGTTTTATGAATGCTTTAAAAATATAATTCGTTGAATTCTTAACACATATTGAGGAGCACTGTATGTAGGAGGACTTACCATTTGTCTTTGCCAATTTTAAGGCCTCATCCGCCTCATTCAGTGTGCCTACTGTAATGATCATCTTTTCTACGCCTTGTTTCCATGCACGTTCCAATACCAAATTTAAATCGTTAGTATGCTTCTGTGTACCGCCATAGATGCCACGAAACATGGGGTCCGTGAGATTGGCACCAATATCTACGAACACAAGAATCGTCTTCAAAATAAATAAATAGTTTGAAAGTCAACAATCTTACCTATGTACTTCATTGCTGCTTTGACTTGGTTGAGTATTCGCATGCAGCCCCAAATTTTTTTTGTGAAAAATTAAACAAACGTGCTTTGTAATTATATCCAATCAGCCAATAATGGTTAGTATAAATTCTTCGCATCAGCTGATTGGTTCACAAGCTGCGATGTAATAACAACCATCGATATACCGATATATTGCAAAAAATTTCTACTACGCATTTATTTTTTGCCTTAAAACAAGTTTATGCAAGCACTATATTTACCAAATTCCATCCAAAAATATATTAGCAATAAATAAGGGAATTCTATCTAAGCACCCATAAATTAAAAATACAGTATTGATTATAAATTTATATCGATAGCAAAACAAATGGAAGCCTTATCAGACATATTCAAACAACAATCAGTCACTATTGTACAAATTCGACAATGTTTTTAAATATAAGTTTTAAACTTTAATGTAATGGCATTTTACAAGTTACAATGCGTTTTTAATACAAAAGTACAATATTGTGGGAATGAAATGATGAGCTTAAAAACTAGTAATAACTTTAAGCGAGATATCTTGGATCACCGCAAGAGCATAACATTCGTGTTTAAGCAGTGGCAGTAGCAGTAGTATCCTTTGTTTCTTCAGGAACTGTATCACAGTTTTTTGGTTTTTCATCCTTGTCAACTTCCTTACTTTCATCCCTTTTGCCATCAACTTTACGCTCTTCCCCTTTTTCTTTAACTTCTTCAGTTTCCATTGCTGCATTTCCATTACCATTTTTGGCAGCGATCTCTTTTATACCAGTCGAACCGAAACCACCGGCTCCACGTTCTGTTTCATCAAGTTTATCTACCTCTTCTAACTCTGGGTAGAAAATACGCTCACAGATAAATTGAGCAATGCGGTCACCTCGTTTCACTTCGAAATCTTCATCTGAATGATTAAATAATACAACGCCCAAGTTACCACGGTAGTCTTCATCTACGACTCCAGCACCAACATCTATAAAGTTCTTAACAGCTAGTCCAGAGCGTGGTGCAACACGTCCGTAAGACCCCTCTGGCACTTGTACTTGCAAATCGGTCTTCACTAGAGCCTTTCCACGCGCTGGTACCTTCACATCGTAGGCGCTTTGTAAGTCAAGACCGGCCGATCGTGGCGAACCTCGTACGGGTGCTCGAGCATGCTCTGTCAACTTTGCGAAACGTAGTACACATTTTGATTCAATCTTCATTTTTTTTGGCAAGGGATTTTCTATGTCTTCTAATTTTTTCTTCAGTACTTCGATAGTCGACATCTGTTGGATAGCAATATTACATATAAATGTTAATGGATTTTTATTCCTAATAAAAACACAAAATACTAACCCACTACACTACCTACTTTTTGTATACAGCTACTTGCACGAAAATTAATCACTCTGATCAGTTCGTAGGTCAACTTCGGAATGGTGGTTTGTGCGAAGAATCCTATAATTCGCGCCATTTGAGCCGAAAATCGCGGTTTTTTAAATTTTTGTTGGTAGATAACGTTTGTTTTTTTTTGGTTGAAACCAGTTCGACAGATGTTATGCCAACTCTTCTTTTTGAAACTCAGTCATTCACAATTATGGAACATTTAGTTCCATGTTTATTGTGAATTATTAAATGCAAACATTGAAAATTAACTGGACTGCTCACAAATTAAAATGTTTCGATGACAAAATGTTTACTTTACAAAACTTTTTATGCTATTGTTGTTGTTATTAAGGCAGAAGGATTCCTCCTTTAGTTTTATAAAAATCCGGACCCATTCCGATTAAGTATACCAGCATGAATTGTGAATGGTAAATAAGTTAATGTAGACATGTTGTAACTATAAAATTTTTTATTACATGAATTTCGTTATAAATGAATGATAAATTAAAGTGATGCGAAGTCCAATCCAATGTGTTTGTCGAGCAATATTTTCCGCTATGCGACTAATCCCACTTTTTGAATTCCGCACCTTCTGGTGGTTTAATATCAACTTTATCTTTAGATACCTCTTGCCAATTTGTACTTAGCACAGTGCCTCCAGACTCTGAAAACGACTTGTTCATTGCCTTCTGTACCTCTGGAGTTGATGAAGAATAGATTTTTTTAAAAAGTCGATTTAACGCCTCCTCGCTTTTAGTGTCCTCTTCCTCTGACTTTTCTACTTCTTTTGCCAAACTGTCCCAGTCCTTTTTGTGAAGCGGTGGTGGTGCGGCTGTTGGTGGTGGTAGTTCCTTCTTTTCTAAGCTATCCCATCGTTCGCCAACTTGTTTCGCTAACGTTATTTCCACTTTGGTTGAATAAGCTTTGTGCGAGCATTTACTAACATCAACCGGACGATATAGCTGCAGGTCAAGTACATAACCATCGGCCGTAATGTTTAAATGTTCCGGCTGGATATCAACTTTATAACTTTTGCCGACTGCATCTTTCAACATAACCGTTACCACAACCTTTGTTTCGGACTGATACCAATCGTGGCGCACCGACATTTTTTTGTTCTTTATTCTTTTATTTTCTATGTATAGCTTTTTGTCAAATGATACCTAATCAGAAAATTGTAAGAACAACAAATGAATTGATTTGCAAAATTGTTGCTTATTATTTTTGACGTGCACAGGACAATGAAAATCTCTTATTTGACAGCTGTAATATGTTTTGATTTCTAGAACCAGGAACAGTTCAGAAGTGATGATAATTATTTATTGTATGCAGGGTTGTATTTTAGCGGCTGCAAGTGATTTATTAAAGGTAGCCGCTATAACTTTGTATATTTCTATATATATATTTTTTTTATAAATCAATATTTAAACCTAGAATAAATTACCAAAAAAAAACATAAATATAAAACAAAAAGTATGAATATTAAAATTTTTTAACAAGTAACAAGACGTTTACAGTGGTATATTGCTTTGCAACCACGTCTACTTCCCGTATAGGACAATATTAAGTTCCTTCAGTTTTTCGTCACATTCTAAAGTCAATATGAGATTACAACTTACCAGCCCCCAATATCGAAAGGGAGGCTCTCAAATATTTATGCTTGCCTTTAGGTTATATTGAAAATATCGCTCAATCAGTGCAATATACTAATGAAACTATTATACAACCTTTTCTGGTAACAATGTGCCCATATAAGTATTTTTATACTCTAGAAACTGTTGCTACAGAGTATAATTGTTTTGTTCATCTAACGGTTGTTTGTATCACCAAAAATCTGAATGGCGAGACGAGTTTATTACCGGGTGACTGTCTGTCCGTCTGTCCATATAAAGTGCCATGACTAAGATTCATAATAATACAAGTAATTGCATTCGCGAGGGCAAATATGGGCGTGGCTCCACCCTCTAATAGGTTTAAAGTTCATATCTTCTAAACCCCTAAAATTATAATAACCAAATTAGCTCTGGACAAACTTTTTTGGCATCCCTATCCACCATGTGAAAATGGGTGAATTCTAATCATAAGCCCCTCCTACTCCCCATATAACAGTCTTGATACAAACTACTAAAATTGCGAACAATCTACTTGTATAACTAAATGCCGCCGGAGACATAAATTTTTAATTTTTAGGTGCCAGTGTTAAATTTGGACGATGGGCGGCACACCGCCCACATTTTGGTGAATATCGTTACCTCGGGACCTACTCGACCGATTTCAACCAAATTCGGTAGGTAATGTTATCCTGACATTCCAAAAACAATGTCTACTTCCCGCTTAACACAATTTTAAATTCCATCTTATTCTTCTACTTTCCCGTATACAAATCAAGAACTAATCAATGTATCAGGATAAAACTTTGCTGAAACTAGTAGGAAATTTTGAATTTATTATAGAGACTAAAGCTGCATAGACGTGTGTGAATGTTGGTATAGCTGCTTATGCTTAATTATGACGAAAAAGTAGACCTCGACCAAGTATAATATTCTCCTTCAGTAACTTACGCGTTATAATCCCAAGAATCGTTAAAAGAAATGTTCGTCCGCTCAACGAGCAAGAAGAAAGTATCTTACGTCCACCTGTGCTACCAGAACGTCAGAGGCCTGCGTACAAAACTCTCAACATTTCAAACAGGATTAGCGGCTAACCAGTACGACGTTGTATGTATTTCGGAATCCTGGGTTTACTCATCCATACGTGATGGTGAAGTCATTGATTCAACATATAGTATGTACCGTAAAGACCGTGTTTCTCTCATCAACGAGCAGGTGCGTGGTGGTGGTGTCTTTATCGCCTGTAAACGTAGTCTCCATACAGAACAAATTGCAATAACAAAGAATGATCATCGGCTGCATCTACATACCTCCTCAATCAACTCTTGAGATCCTCGAGTGCCACATAGCTACCGTTTCATTTATAATAGACAAATACCAAAACTCCAACGTCATGATTGTCGGCGACAATATTTCTAGCAGCTTGCCTCGTGTCGTCCAGCTTGCCTTGTATACTGCACTCAACAAAATTACATTCAAAATGCCTGGAACTCAACACTTGACCTTTGTTTCAGTGATATTGACTCTTCTCCGGAACACGCAGTTGCTCTTGTCCCGGAAGATAAGTACCATCCTGCTATCGACATCTTGCTAAATTTTCGGCCGGGGTTGACGCCAGATAATTCCTCATCATACGTATTTAAAAAGGCTAACTACGCAGCCCTTAATACTTCTCTCCTAAGAACGAACTGGATTGACCTCTACAAACTCGAGACTATTGACAGTAAGTTGGACTTTCTCTATGCAAAAATCTTTGAAGGTGTAAACCAGTTTGTTCCAGTACACGTACACAAGCCAAGTAACTATCCATCTTGGTTCTCACATGATCTCATTCACAAAGTCAAACAGAAGAAATCTGCACACCTAATATATATAATTCGGAAAACTAAGCCAAATTATTTACGATTCAGCAGGTTAAGATTGGAATGCAAAAAGTTAAGTATCGAATGCTACAAAATTTATGTCGACAAGGTAGAGGACAAACTGCAATCGGAGATTAAAGCATTCTGGAATTTTATCAAGGACAAAAACCGTTGCACCGGTGACATACCATCTTCCGTAGCCTGGAATGACCGCTCAGCAGATACAGGACCAGGTATCAGTAACCTCTTTGCGTCCTTCTTCCACAGCATCTACCCGCCATCGAATAGCAACGACCCAGGTATTGCAACCTTCAATCCTGGTACACAGCGCACACACTTGGATGCGCTGACAGTGACCTACGATGCAGTACTCAAAGAACTCCTTGCTCTCGACCCCAGCAAAGGTGCAGGCCCCGATGGTTTGCCTAACATATTCATCAAAAACTGTGCGGTAGGCCTATGTGAGCCTTTGACACATATATTTGGCGAATCTCTTCACCATGGTACCTTCCCGACCTACTGGAAACTGTCATACATCTCACCGATTCATAAAGAGGGGCCCAAGACCTTGGTTACCAACTACCGTCCTATCTGCATACAGTCTGCACTTGCAAAACTATTTAGAGGTTAGTGCTTCCACAGATACGTCAGGCATTTGAAAACATTATAACAACCAAACAACATGGCTTTACTGGTGGCAGATCCACCACTACCAACACAGCAGCACAGCATTTACACAGACTTCAGCAAGGCTTTCGACCGTGTTGACTACGAAATACTTTTAGATAAGCTAAGTAAATATGGTGTGGCTGGAAGTGCATTAGCTTGGATACGTACATACCTCACAGACAGACGCTTGCAAGTCAGAGTAGATGGCCACTTATCCAGTGAATATGAAGTAATCTCTGATGTGCCACAAGGATCTCACCTTGGTCCTGTACTGTTTAACATTTTCGTCAACGACATTGGTAATAACTTTGCTTCTGCTTTCCTTCTGTATGCTGATGACCTCAAAATATTTAGACCGATTACTTGTGAGACAGACATCATAATCTTGCAACAAGACATAAATCGAGGTCGAGAACATAAAAGACTTAGGTATCATTGTTGATAATAAGCTCACCTTCTCACACCACGCAGACAAAATTACATCAAAGGCGTTCAAAGCCCTTGGATTTATACTGAGGAGTGGTAAAGCTTTCAAAAACCCTTGGACACTCATTAGACTATTCAAGTCACTTGTACTACCAATTTTGGAATATGGTTCGGTAATCTGGTCTCCCTACACTAACACGACAATCGATAAAGTTGAAAAGGTGCAGCGTAAATTCTGTAAGTCACTGGCCTATAAACTATCTTCACCAAGTCACATCTGCTCTACTGATGAGGTCTACCAGTGCTACTGTATAAACAAACTGTCTTCTAGTCGACAGGTCGCTGACCTCTGCTTTTTCTACAAAGTAGTCAATAACATCACTGATGCTCATGAGATCCTAAACAGTTTTGAACTCGCCCCTGCTGGTCTTACCCTGAGGCGAAATAGATTACTAAAAACATCGAAATCCAAGAAAAATTATGTTATCCATGGTCCTCAGAATAGACTGGCTAATTTAGTAAATTCACTTCAAGGTGAAATTGATTTCTATGAAGGAACATACGCTGCTTTTACCGAAAACACCAAAAGACACCTGCTCGTCTGAATTACATCTAAATCAAGTCTGAATTACATATTAACTTACTATATTATTTTCCAGATATTACACTAATATACCCTAGCTACTTTTGTATAATACTTTAATTCTTTATTATATCTATGTATATTGCCGATTGGAGTTTAAATAAATAAATAAAAAAAATAAAAAAAATAATCGCTATGTTCTCTACATTCACTTTGTTGATATAACCATGAATTGATTTTTTTAGTGCTTCCCATGCGATACGTTGATATGCAGCTGAAGCTTTATCGGTTATTTCAATCTGCATCATACGTAACTTAGCTGGTGGAATATACGCAGCGCCAGTACACGTGAGGCTAAAAGGTCTACAGTTCGTCGCTGGCGATCAGTAATCTTTGCCTTTGGATCAGTAACCGCGTGCTTTACGCGTTAGAGACAATTTGTTACGTTTGGTCGAATTTTCAGCACTAAGGCTTTTTCCTCCTTCTCTTCTTTTTTCTTGCGATCTTCATTTTCGCAGCGCTTACGTACAGCATGACGATTTTTACGTTCCTTTTGTCATCTTTCTAGGGATACTGACCGATGGGAACGTTTACGGGAACGAGATCGTGAGCGTTGCCTAGAAATACAACGGTTTCGGGAACGACTGCGTCGAGATGATTTTGTTTGCTCTCGAGAACTCTCGTTTTCAACCTTTTGTTATTCTCGTCAGATTTTTTTGTGAAAGTTGATGCCAATCACATCGACAAAGTTTTCCACAGATCTATCACCAGTAGTGTCTCTCTCCGAATTACCATTCGGCCCATCAAGTCCTTCTGATTCTCTCTCTCCTTATCGTCAACTGATTGGGTATTTGCTTCATTATAACTTAGTTCGCCTTCTTCAAGTTCCCCCGGGGCTTTATTTTCCATTGATTCATATTTATTTATTTCAGGACTTGTTGAATCTGCTGTGTTAGTTAACCTTACTGCATCATTTTCTTCTCTCTTTTCATAGCTCTTTACACCAACTTTCTCAGGTGAGCAATCTTCACTTGGTGTAAAAGAATTTTTTTCTTGTAACAAGGGTAATGATGAAGATTTACAATCCTTTCCATTCTCTGTAGTATCAAAACCCTTTTGAGCAGATGATTCTTTTGAACTTGGAGCCGAATCAGCAGAAAACGATGAGCTTGACGAACTTGAAGTTACACTTCCAATCTCGTTGCTAGATGAGCTACTATCGGTATAACTGTCCGCCATCTTTTACGAAGGGAAAATATTTCACAAAAATGCACGCCTTTAAATTGAACTTAGCCCTTCTTTACTTGTCAAAAATTACGATTGACTTTAAACTGCATATATCGATCCATATGTGCGAGTTACCATGATAAAATTTAACGAAAATATGTTCTCAATCATCGATGCAGATCTTTGGATCTCATATTCATAATATTTTTGCCACTCCAGTTGACTTTTCCCGTCCTGTCCCGTCCTTCTGGGATGTCGGATACCTTATTGGGTATACTTATATACCTATATGGTATATAGCTGAGTCAACTTAGATATAATGTGTCTGTCTGTCTGTATATACGCGAACTAGTCCTTCAGTTTTTGAGATATCGATCTGAAGTTTTGCACCCGTTCACTTCTACCCAAGAAGCTGCCCATTCGTCGGAATTGCCAATATCGGACCACTATAGCATATAACTGCCATACCAACTGACCATTCAAAATTAAGTATTTTATGTGACAAGATATCTTCACGAAATTTGGCACAAATTATAACTTTAGGCATCGCTACAATCTCCGAACAAATTATTCAGAACTTATTGCTATAGCATATAGCTCACCCGATCAAAATGATTTCTTTTCCTTATTAAAAAACCTTAGTGTGGAGGGATTTTCTTGTTTAATATAAAGGTGATTTCCAAATCCCCAAATTCAAAATCACCAAAATCACAATCCACATAACAGCAGTAATATCCGCTAGAGAAAATTCATATTAAAAGGACAGTTATACCGACCATGAAAATATTAGTTTGGTGTTTTTTGTATTTAAAAAAATAACCTTGCCCGATCCCATACCAAAGTATCATCAGTTCTCTCCCCCTTCAAACTCTTTTCTACACTGTTACTTTTTGAGTTTGGAGGTTTTAATTTTGAGGATTTTTTAATATTGGGGATTTTGTGTTTTGGGCTTAAATTTTTGGGAGTTTGGGTTTGGTCTCTGAAAATGGCGAGAGTATAGAATGTTCAGTTGCATCCGAACTCTGCTCTTTCTTACCTTTTTTGACAACTAATTGAAGTTTAATTATTTTTCATATTCTACAATAACAATAATATAAATATTTGCATGTTCTTATACAAAAACAATATACACTAAAATTTATTTATATTGTCTATAGTATAAAACTAAATACAAAATACAAAAAAAAGAAGAAATTAAATTACTTACCACTAACTCTCAAATAAAAATATACAGCGCAATTTGCTTTTGTTCCTTTTGTTTTATTTTTGTTGTGTTTTTAACGTTTATTAGCTATTTTCCTTATTTATGGACATTTAATTAACATATTTTCACAGTTAGCAATTTCCTATTTGTATTATATAATATAATCCGACAATGCACCCACATTCTCCATGTTGTTTTAATTTAATTTACCTCTCTTTATTTGCGTTTTATTTTTTTGTTGCTGGATAACAAAATTAAATGTTATTTATGATATTTGTCGTTTTCTGCACTTTAATACTTTCCCTTACGCGCTCTAACTCACATACATAAATATTGTATTGTATTTTTTTCAATATTTCATTACGTAACACATTAGCTAAGCGTTATCTGCGCCTTCTAGCTAACACATTTTGATTTATATAAATGCCAGAAATTACTAAATGCCCAATGTGCAAAATTCTTGTGTTTTGATCATCGTTATTAATTAATTACAATACAGCGTTGCCACTTTTTTTAGCAAAACCATATTTTTTGCGTACCTGGGTACATACATATACCATATTATCTACATATGTACCTAAGTCAGTGCTTATGTAAACAATATAATTTTTTATTTTACTTTGCAGTACATACATACATACATATTATATATATTTTTTGTTTTGTTTTTTTTTAATGTTTTGTGTTTACTTGCGATCAAGATCTGGGTAGCTAATATTTGAAAGCAAAAAAATCATACTAGAACGAAACCTATTGGAAACGAAAGAAAAATGAAAGTAAAAATAATTTACGGGCGATCTGAGTTCGGGAAGTGGAAAAGCGAAGGGACGTGCTTATATTTTTAAGTGTACAAATCGGTTTATTTCGATTTTCGGTAAAACTACGAGTCCTATAGAAAAAATTATATTTCATCTATCTATTATTTCGTATTAGCAGATGTAAAAAAAACAGGTTTGAATCGTTTCGTGAGGTCTTTTTTGTATTTTCTAAGAAAATTGGAAATGTTTGGTAAGTACATAATTTTTATACCATCAGAAAGTAGAGATTTCAACAAACATAAAGTTTAAAAAAAAAAATTGATATTTTGACCTGAGAACTTTTGTTTATAAATCAAGGTTTCTTTCGACATTAGGTCAAAATAAGGAGAAAATATAATTTTTTTAAATGTGTGGGATATGCAAAGGAATTTTTTTTATAAATTAAGATAAGATACATCGCGAAAGAAAAAAATGTTTGTACAAGTTAAAAATAAAAAAACCCAAAAACTTGGATATTGAATTGTTCACATAAATTTTGAGGTTATGTGAAAAAGCTGTTAGTATAAAAGTTATAGATCTTTTCATTAACTACAACGTTGCTATATAACTTTTTTCTATAGAAGTCGTTGTTTTTCCAGAAATCGTAATAAACCGCTTTAACGCTTAAAAATTCAACAACTTTCTCTTCCCGACCTCAGATCGCCAGTAAAATATTTATCCGTTCATTTTTGTTATTTTAACTTTCGTTCCAATGAGTTTCATGAATTTTTTTCACTTTTTTTCATTTCCAAATGTTACTGCACTGACCTATTTTTTAGTTTCTTGTTATTTGTTTGTCTTCCAAGCGCTTACGGGATTTCATTTCAGCATGCACAATAGTCACTTAATCATATTTAACAATAACGTGTTTATATTCTTTGTTTTTTTTTGTTTGTTATATTTTTATAAAAAGAGAGCAAAACCTTATCGCAAAATTTTTATATTGTTTTCATCATTTTGTTTTTTGTAAATTTTAAATCGAAACGTTGTCGCTTGTTTACCTTAGGGAAATAATTTTTTTCCCTCCAATATTTATGTATGTATATTTAATATATCATTTAATACTTTAATACAAATACTACTTTTTACTCATTCTAAGTTTTTTGTTGTAGTTTCTCTTGTTTTTATAATCACAATTCACTTTGCATCGTTTTCATTTGCTGCTACGATTTACAAACCTACTAACAAAAACTGAAACATTTTACCATAAGTTTATTGGTCATTAATCAACTAATTTTATGAAATTACAAGCTACATACATATGTATATTCTTTTTTATTTTTTGGTTTCATTTATTTTTTAAGGTTATGTCAGATAAAATGCAAGTGCTATTCTTAAATGTGACACGAAAAGTCGGAAAGCTTTATGAAGATCGGTAAAAAAATATATTAAATTTTAAAGTAAACAAAAAAAAAAGATAAAGAAAAAACGTTAACTTCGGTTGCACCGCATTATACCTGCGGTTTCTTTCACAAACAAAGAAGTCTTCATACAAGAACTTGATTTTGAGCGTTCAGTTTATATTGCAGCTATATGCTATAGTGGTCCGATATTGGCGGTTCCGTCAAATGGGCAGCTTCTTGGTTAGAAAAGAACGGGTGCAAAATTTCAGATCGATATCTCAAAAACTGAGGACTAGCACGCGTATATACAAGCAGACAGATTGCAACACCAAATCACGATATATAAAAGGGAACCTACGTATGTGTATATATTTTATATCGTCTCCGCCGTTCGCTTCCTTCTAAAATATTTCTCCCTAAGTAAGTTTCATAAATCGAGCAAAGCTGTTATTATATTACCAAAATGAAGAATGGAAATTTTTTTAGATAAAAACTAAGGTCTGCTTATATCCATTGCGGTTAGGCTTTTATCGAAAACAATCTTTTCATCGAAACTACGAATGATTATTTCTCTAAAGCGGAGTTGGGTTTCGACGAACAAAACAGATGCTGTACAAAACCCCATTACGCCAAAACTAGACAACTGAGCTTGGGAATGTTGGAAAAAATATTATTTTACAGTATTTTAAATATTTAACTGTATCAAATAAGATGGAAAGACCTGCAGAACGAAGTTTATAATTAAAAAATATAAATTAAAATACATTGCCTAAGTCATGTTGCTCAAATGAGTATAGATTCAGGGTATTCAGCAGTGTAATTTTGGAAATTGGATAAATCCATCGGAGTGTGGACGTGATCACAATATTTAGGCGGCAATTAAGATGAAGCACAATAACTAAAAACATCTCTCTACTTCTATTTATAATTCTCGATTACAGTGTCTTTCTATTCTTCTAATTTGATTTTGTATGTCGTACTGTACACGAACAGAATTGGATGAAATTGATGTCGGTGTTGGTAGTCTTCGCAAAAATTTAAGAATATCATTTTGATAAAATGGTGGACGAGAAGCATCAAATATGAAATTGAGTGCGTAAATACGTGGATATATGTATGTATGTATATTTCTCTAGTGATTCTCAACTTGTAAAATGTCAGCGTATTCCCGAATTCCTTTGGATTTTCGTGATGTTACGATTAACGCTGAAACCCGGAAAAACAGTAGAACGCCATGTGTTTGAACCGTTTCCGAGAAATAAAATGAAAAAATAAAACTGTCATCATAGAAGCATTTCACACGATCATTGGGGATTGTGTTTTTTAGTCATTGCAACAACAACAATACAGTTATTTAAAAAAAATACATAACTCAAATTTAATGAATTTTTAGAAAACAGCTGGAGTAGTGCGTGATAATCAATATTTTATGGCTACACATTTTCGAAGAGAATAATAAATTATTTAAGTAACAGAGAAACTAATTATTGGTTATTAATTATTTCAGTTACTGGCTTAATGAGAGCAACTTATTTGAGTCATAGCTCGATATTGGCGTTTAAGCCCTTTGATATATAGACCGATAGCTGAATAGTCTAATATTCCTTAGTTACATGTTATTTAAAGATATTTACTTAGATTTGGAAAAAATATTTAAAAAATAAAAAAAAAATTTAAATTTTAGAAAAAACTTACTACTAAAAGAAATTTCGTATATAATATTTATTTAATAAATTCACGCGCTCATTTTGCTTAATTACTATTTTAGTTTATTTCATAAATATTACTAAATGGGCTCAATATCCTTTGCAGTGAAAGTAAGCTGATCCAAAGCTCTTTTTAACCTTTTCATTAATTTATTTACCGTTTTTGGTTTTGTTATTTATTAAGTGCTAATTTTGATTCGGACAAATATTTAAATTTTACTATTATTAAATTTTATTTACTATATAAATTCTTTTAAATACTCATCTAAGCTTACTTTTAAGATGAGAAATTCTTTCCCGGATATAAAAAAAATTCATAAATTATTTGTAACACCGTTACAACAAATGTCTGCATAAAAGTTCATTACGAATATACATATGTACCTCCTTAAATATATTTATACACAAACAGTAACAAACATACAGAAATATATTTGTCTTTTTTACTCGCTTAAGTCCATTACTAAACGCTCCGTCCAACACTCTTCTATAAATATTTGTTTATTGCCTTAGTTAAATATTTGTTTTACAGAATTTATAGTAGTTTGCAAGTAAATATTATCAGTTTTTGGTGTATTGGTCAGCAGCTACGCTAAGAACAAATATTTCTCCACAAATAGTCGTTACTTTGATTTTGTGTTGGAATTTCCTTAAGCACATACATACACATGTAAATATACATACATATAAGTCTAGCATTAAGTATTGAGTAAAGTCGTGCATATGTATGTATTTTGTTTACGTGCAAATTGTCTTGTGCATTAAGTTCAAAAGTGTGCAGTAACAGTGTTGTAGAGTTAACGGTAAAGTTCTACTTAGTTTATTTGAGAAGTTTCGTAATTTTTGTTAGATTTTTTGTGTGAATAATTAATTTTTTAAAAACTGTTTTGTTTTAATGTGAATTTAGCAAAAATGCCAAAAACGTAAAAAAAAGTGAAAAAAAATTAAGCTTTAATTAGCTAAATGAGATAATCCTCCTCTTGAAGCCAACATAACGACGCACTATTTCACAACTGGCACCACACTGACACACTCCAATACACCACACCAATAGAACACACACATGAAAACACCACATTTAATAACCCAACACACATGGATACCCCCAAACAGCAATATTAATAAAAGTCGGACCTTTTTTTCGATTGAACCCGCAAGTCGTATTTTTTCGATCGTCGTCGTTATGCTGTTAATGCTGTGCTATATTTTTATCTATTTAAACTCAAATAAATACCAAATAAAATTTGCAATAAAACCATCTCTGTATAATAAAACGAAACCCGACGTTTTGATTTAAATAATTGGAATTTTGGCAAAGCGGTGAGTGTTAAAACAGCAAAGTGGATAAAGAAATAATCAATAATAAATAAAAATGTATAAATAAATTATAATTTGAAGTCTTGTAATTTTCGTAGACTTTTTTGTGAGAAGAATCTATTTAAATTGTTTTTATGAGAACCAAAATCATTTCAAACTTCTGCCTAAATCTAAACAAAATCTTGGGAAATCTACAGAAAACATTATTTTGGTGTGTTCAAAATATAACGAGAATTTTAATTTTTTGAAAAAAATGTTTGTTTATATTTATTTGGTCGCCTTCAAAATAGTCGTCATTCGATATTAAGCACTTATGCCAGCGCTTCTTAGAATCGTCGAAACATTGCTTAAACTAAATTTTTGGGATAATCTTTAGTTCCGTCAGAGAGTTTCATCAATCTTGCAAAACGACAGCCCTTTAAGGTTCTCTTTATTTTTGGAAATAGGAAAGAGTCACACGGAGCCTTGTCTGGAAAATAAGGACGCTGGGCATCGTTACAATTTTGTTTTCGGCTAAGAATTCACGAACAAATTTTATGATTCATGTCCTTAAACAAACAAAAATCACCAAGCTCACAAAAACACGTCTAACCTTAGCTGTTGTTACAGACAAAGTAGGCAATGAATACAGCTGAAAATTTTATTGTACTTCAAGGGCATAATATCAACAAAATAAGCCTCTAGCATTTGTTGAACCTTATTTGTAGACGTTTGGGAAAAACGATGAAGAGTGCGGTAAAAAAACATTTTAGAAATTTAAAGTTTTTTGAGAAGCTCATTAATTTTAGTTGCGCTTTTTCCACACCGCAATACGATTTTCCTTAGCTTTCCACTATATTGTTAATATGTTTTATAAATTTTGTAACATTATTTATGGCAGGACTAAGTATAGGAATACAGAGAGGTACTCATGGAAACAATTTGGCCTATTTTTTCGAAGAATAGAGAACAGTTTTTGAAAATCTTGGCTATTGAGGTAATAGTTAAGTAATATAATGAAATAAATTATATTCTTTATAGAAACAATTTACATACCCTAAACAGGGAATATTAAGTTTGTATATACGCGAACTAGTCTCTCAGTTTTTGAGATATCGACCTGAAATTTTGCACACTATAGCATTTAGCTGTCATACAAGCTGAACGAGCGGAATCAAGTGGAAAACTTTTTCAGTTAACGAGATGTCTTCACCAATTTTGGAAGAAATTTTTTAGATCGGTTCACAATAGCATATAGTTGCCATGCGAACTCAACTCAATGCTACGATATCTGAAGAAATTGTTTAGATTGGACCACTATAGCACATAAACTAATCGATCAAAATCAAGATATGGATCCCTTTATACCCTTTGCGTCATAGCTTCGGTGCAGTAGAAGCAAGCGTTTTTTCATTCTTTGCATCCCCGTTCTTCAATAGCATAAAAGTGCTCTCTGAGATGCTTATACGTAACACAGCATATATGGATGACTTAAGCTAGATGTGGAACTAACGCACTTTATTGTCCCAACAAAAACTATTGAGGCCTTCAACTTCCTATGAAGGTTATATAAAATTATCTGTATAATTACTTTCGGTCGAGTTTCCAAAAACTCTAAAAAATAATTGAGCTCAGGTAGAGACCTTCCTACAATTTCAAAACGAAATAGATAAATACGAAAATTTTAATGACTTTCACTTAAGGGGGGATGCATTGGCATCATTTTCCTAGCAATTTCATTCCCATACACATATGTATTGCGCCAAAATGTAGACTTCTACTCTGGGTTTTCCTGCTCGCAATCGAGCGTGTGTGAGGCAAGGAGTTGTCGGGAGGTAAAAAACAAAAACAAGGAAGCTGTGTGAGTAATGCGTGCCGGGGCCAACAATTTTCGAGCACAATTAAAAAGTTCAAGATACACACACACATACATACATACAAATTTTCATGACAACCGAAAAACGCAAACAGCAAAAACAACTGAAGTTATTAGCTGCTGCTGTGGCAACAACAAACGGCGTTTAAAGCTTGTGGATAGCTCAGCTACGTAAATTATCGTAGACGCATCAACATATGTACATATATATGCTTGTATGTGTACGTGCGGCTGGTAAGTGATACGAGAATCGGCAAGGCGACTGTGTACTCACATCAAGAAGAATTTCAATAATCAAACTCTTGAAAAAAAGCGAATGCGTTTGTGTGTCTGAAAAGTGGCATTGCTTAAAGTTTCAGACAATTAAAAACAAATTTTCGCAAACATATATGCACAAGGATGCCATATAATTGCAATATAGGTATATATGTATTTTTGGTTAGTTATTAATGTGCATAATGCAAAGTTGATAAACTCGTACTAGTTAAATGATGATAATGATGAAATCGTACTAAAAGTTGTAAATGTTCTGGGAAAACTAGTTGTATTGTGTTTAACTTTGAAACGAGTTCAGCGGATATTTATACGAAGTGGATATTTACTAATGTGGGCATAAGAGTAGACTGAGCTATAAATTTGCTCCTGGATTCGAACAATAGTTTTGAATAAGGTAAATGAAATAACATCGCTTTTGCAAATGTTAACGAGTAACGGTAAAGTAATGACGAACTTGTCTCAATATAATATCTCAGAATATTCTAAGGCTGAGTAATAGCATGTAGCTTTAATACGAAATACAAAAACTACTATTGAAATTAAATCGATTAAATGCAGCCGAGAACAATTTGCTCTTTATAGGGTTCAAGGCCCGACTAATGAAAAACATGCTAAAACTACTTTTTATCTTAAAGCTCTCGTCATCTGTCAACAAGCGTTCCCTCAGTAAGTCTGTAAAGGCCTCTGATATGAAAAAGATTTAAAGAAATGTTCAGTTGTTTAAAAGGGATTGAGGAAATTAGTAGCTTAGCGAAGACGCACACCACAAATATTTATAAAATATTTGTTTTTGGCAAACATGATAAAGCAAATTTTAATAATTAGTATTTGTTTATATATTAATTTGGTAAGTTTTTACCAATATGTATATTTATTTGTTAAAAATTCAGGCAAAAGCGCAGCATTTCAACTCATAGCTTTAAAATACATGCGAACAAATGTTTGTCTGTGTGCGTAGGTGAAAATACCATGCAGTTATCATGCATAGTTAAAAACCGATTGAACTCTTAGGCCTCATAAATTTTGATAAAATAAATAATGCATGGCGAAGGACTGCAACGCATTGTGCAGATAAGCATAAAGCTCGGTCATAGCTTTTGCTATTCGGCATTTCAGCGGTATTATGGAAATTTTTACGCATTTCTAATATTTTATACAATTGTTGATTGAGGATTATCAATTGCATACTAACATATTTGGCAGATGTGGCAGGTTAGTTAGTAAATGCATTTAAAATTTAATCAAATTAATATAGTGACCAGCAAAACTTTTTAAAAATACTCTTTTAAGCCCCCATTAGGGTTTTCGACTCAACTGCATTTTGATTGAAGCTATGAAATTCGGCATTATCAATATCAACTCAAACCGCCAAAAAAATTTGGGCTGAACTTCAACTTTTTTGTGGTATTACGGTTCTCAACACTGCCTAAATGGAGTTGACTAGCATATAAAACAAAACTACAACTACTTTGTAGCAAAAAAAAAAAATAAATAGAAAATAGAAAACGGGTAAATAAACTATTTTAAATATTTGCTTACTCTCGCAAAATGTTGCAACAGAAAGAATAACAGTATTGTTCAACTAACGGTTGTTTGTATGACCTAAAACTAATTGAAATAGATATAGAGTTCTATATATATAAATGATCAGCATGACAAGATGCGAATCGGAATTCAAGAGTGACTGTCTCACTGTCCGGCCGTGTAAACGATAACTTGAGTAAAAATTAAGATATATTTATGAAACTTTGTACACGTGTTTGGTACAATACAAGGGATCACGGTAGCGAGGAAATCTGTGGCTTAGCATTTTTTTAAAAGCCTGGTTCCGCTCTTTAAATGATTTGATGCATCTTCGAAACGGCTTGAGGTAATTCAACCAAACTTGCTTTGGAGTATTCTTAGAGCTTCTTCAAACACTGTGAAGATGGATAAAATCCCCACACCCACTCTTCATATAACGGTTATGTTGAAAACTAGTAAAAGTGCGATAACTCATTGAATAAATGTGCCATAGGCGATACCGATTTAAATCTATTTTTTTTATTCTATATTACCGAATGATATTCGTGATACTCTAACACAATTTATTTTATTTGGGCAAATAGGAGGTTTAGGGGACCTTAAATTCCCTATGTGACCGTATACTGGATTTACATTAATACAGATACATTAAAGTAGATATTTTACAGCTACTACTGGTAATAATATTATTCGGTCTAAGAATTTACCTAATAATTATATATTATGAAGATATTCCGAAAGACCTGACAAGCGGATCAGGGCCAGATGGAATGCTTTAAGTAAATGCAGGATCGCCAAGATTATGTGCAAGGGAGCGGAAGGAAAACACGCAAGCTTTCTACTTACGCGGTTATGCTTCTGCAGAGCGGTTGTTGACAACGTACTGGCATCACATGCGATCCGAATAGGCATAAGTAACGCTGATACATGCAGAAAGTGGAGAGAAGTGCGCATGAGAGAGACGCTGAAACACCTCCTATGTCTCTGTGTAACACTATCTAGAGCTTCTCTTAGTTATATAGGAGCTCCGCAGTTCAAGGGACTAGACGAAGTGCGTTCGACTAACTTACATCATATATAAGTTTGTTACACCATAAACATGCCCCGAAAGTGTTCTAATGACTGCGACAGTTTTTGTTATGTGTGTGGAGAATTAATTATATCACGTCATTAATTGAACAGTGCTAATTAGACTATTTTCGCTTTCCTGTGAGGAGTTAGGATAAATCCTGGGTTCCACATAAATGTTGTTTATCATGTATGAGACTGTAATTAGGTTGGGCTAAACAAGAGCCCAGACAAATGCCATTTGCTATACCAATGATTTTCACCGAACCAAAGGATAAAGTAAGGGATTGTTATTGTTGTTTGACTCAAATAAAAGACATTACAACCAAGTTCAAACACACTACCCTGATAAAGGATAAGTGCTTTGAAGAAAAACTAAATGATCAAGAAAAACTCGCCTGGAAATATTTTTTTTTTTCTAGGAAACCATAAATCGGAAAATTACAAAGAGTGAACTTACAATAACTGTCTTCCGTTCGCCGTTTCTCTGCTTGCTTTTGCTCTCTTGTTAAACAAATTACATGTAAAAGCAACAACAAAGTTACTAGTTAAATAATCATAGCAGTATTACGCATGCGTCAGAAGATATGTTAGCGCAGGGTTGCACTACAAGTGCTGCCTATCTCGTATAGTTTGTTCGATTCGCTATAAAGTAACGTTTTGCGAATCGAAGACAACTAATGTAATATAAAGCTTTAGGGTGTAATATGCCCTTCAAAATACATATTTTAGACGATCAACTAGATTTTTTTCCAGTAAATTTGGGTGCTGTGGGTGACGAACAAGGCGAGAGATTCCATCAGAACATTTCCTTAATAGAGTTAACGCTTTTAACCGAAATTGGGCGCAAGAATGCTAGCAGGTTATTGTTGGAGATTTAAAGGCAGCTTCCCTCACATTCACGAAAATCATAAGTACTTTTTGTGTATTAAGAAATAATTTTTCTAAATGTAGCTGTGTTTTTACTTTTTAATAAAATATATATTTTGATGTCACTAGACTTACCAATTTTTTTTTCATTCACATATTATTGTTTAGTCGACCTTATAAATTCAAAATTTGATATGAGTTTTCAGGTGACAAAAAAAGTTAAAACTTGATTAACCAGTGTTATATATACGAGGTATTCCAAATTTGACAAACAAAAAAATAAGCTTTAAATTAAAATAAATGCTGTAAAAGAAATTATATAAAATTATATACAAATATTAAACTGTTGAAAAAAATTAATATATTTTAACGCAGGCATACATTTTAAAATAATATGGTTTTTTTATATATTATATGCAGTATACGCTAAGGTTGCGAATATTTTCATTAAAAAATTTGGAATTAAAAATAAACTTTAATTTTTTAATCCAAGATGTTTTGGATTGAAAATTGAAATATTAAAATTGAAAATATTACTTTTTGATTTGAATGAACTCAAAAAAAATGTTAATCCTAAACCAAATTCTATTAAACTTTTTAATTATATGCTTAATTTTGTTTTTTTATTTTTCAATCCGGTAGTTGGATTAAAATTATTTTTATTTTTTAATCCGGTATGCGGGATTAAACCTTTTTTTAATTTTTTAATCCCGTATCTGGGATTACAAAAAAAAAAAAAAAATTAGTTCAAATGTTAACACAATTAGTTTTTTAAGGAATTATTTGCAACCCTGGTATACGCAAGTCTATACGTTTTAGTTGAAAAAAGTCCAAATATTTTTATCAAAAATTAATTACATAAAAAGCAATTTTTTTGTTGTTGCAAGTCAGTTATTGTTATTTAAACCGCATGTGTATGTAATTACTTGTTAATATTTATAAAAAAATGACGCTTATTATTTGTTAAATTTGAATAACAACTAGTGCGTTATTAAAGTACAATATATATTTTAAGTAAATATTATAAATATCTTTTTTCATACTTTATATTTTTTCAAACCGTTAATCTCTCGCTTTTTAGCTGCAATAAGCTTGCCTATACATACACGCCTAAATAAGTATGTTTGTATACAACAGAAAATACCCACTTATATTCATATCAACAAAAACATAGCTATTTTCCGCCTAATCAATGACACTCCTTTTGTTTTTGTTATTTTTATATATATTATATAATTAAATATAATAGTTCTAATTAAGCGTTCATATCAAAATGTTTATTTTTTTTCCGCGTCATCCTTCGCGCGATTATTGAATCCAATTTGACGACTGTTAATTAAAACTGTACATATTCCCAATGTACACACACGCGTCTATGCCTACTTACTTGCACACCAACACCACCACGCACACATACACACACTCGCCTATGCATATGTACACAATTGTGACTTCGATTTTCCGCTTGTCTTTGCCTTTGCTGCTTAAAGTAGCTTGTGTTTATTGTTGTTGTTGTCCTTTTGCTGCTGTGATTTATTATATATATTTGTTTGCGCTTTTCAAACAATTTTCACCTAATCAATCTTTCGCACCTCCTTCCTCCGCTGCTTTATTGCAAATTACAGTCATCGGACGCGTTGTTGATTTGCTGTTTGGTTTTGCGTGATGCACGGCGTATGAGTGACCTGCAATTTGGAGCACATTCTTTGTTAGCCATCTGCTTCACACCCCACCAAAGCAAGAGGGGGGTAGGTAAATATAGAGCAAACTAATAATATATATACTGACCTAGATCTGGGCTTTAGCTTGGCATCGCCGCTGCTGGTGGCTGGATCAACAGCTTCGACCAAGCTGGATTTTTTATCACCGGAAACGGAAGGACTGGCATTGCGATTCTTGTCTGCAAATGAAAATATATAAGGATTAAGTTAATTTATATAATCGATATTTAATAGAAATATACAAAAATAGTACAAAAATTACAGTTTTGCATAGCGAAAGCAATTTAAATATTACACAGGAAGACTGCTTACGAGTCAGGTGGAGACTACATAGATTGAGGACTATAGTTCTGAGACTGAGGAATATTAGTAGGCAGCAAAGAGAAGAAGAAATACGACTATGCAGGTTTTCAGTTTCTATCATCGAACAAGTTTTATCACATACACTCTGGTACGCAGAGGTTCTGGTACAATTATTAGTTTAGGATTATAAATTGTAATTACGTTTAAAGATTTTTCAAGTCAGAAGTATTTTTAAATTTGTTTTGTTTTTTTGTTTTGTTTACAGGCTTCGGTTTTTGTGGAATTAGCAGGTTAAAGGAAACATCAAAAGAATACTGTACTACCTGTACCAAGGATTTGTTTTGCCCATATTCCACTGCCATTTGTTGGACCCACACCTTTTCGCACACTTTGCCGATCTAAAATTATTTAAATTAAATAAAATTAAAATAAAATTATTACATACCATAAATATTTTAAGGGATTTACAGTTATTCGATTAAGAAATTATTAGAAATTGGATTTAGTTTATTAGAACTGTAATAATACTTAACCTTTAAATTCAAGTTTATAAATTTCACAGTTTTCAGGCAAAAATTATGTCGGTACATGACAAATGAGCATCGAAGACGATGGATCCATTAGAAATGCAAAAGAAGCTGTTACAGACGACAATGACTTTAAATGTAACTCAAGGGAATTCTTTCTGGAAAGTGATCATCAAAACTGAGATATATTTGGCAACAACATTCAAATCGCTCTATCAAGATGTTATATAAAATGACCTTTAATAACAAGTATGCAGCATTGTTTTTAGATGTGTGGTTTTCAATGAGGCAATACTTTTTTCGGAGTTGGTATTTCTGATAGCTGTTACTTTATTTATACGCAGTGTGATTTGTCATTTCATATTAAACAGACTTCCTCCGAAACAAAGTTTGCAAGTTGTGCAAATTTATTACCAAAATAATGGCAAGTCGTTTAGTGCGCACCGAAGACGCTATTGCTGCTATAGAGCAGAATATCGAAGAAGACCCGAATGAGTTCATCCTCCATCGAGCTGAAAAATTGGAAAATTTTGGGGAAGGAACTTGGTTTGCGTGCTTACATAATCCAATTATTGCAAGTATTAAAGCTGAGCGACCATCAACCGTGTCGCAAGTTCGGTGAGTGGTCCCAAAATTGGTTCATATTTCTTTAAAAACGCTGCCGGCCATAATGTTATAGTCAATGGGGAACGCTTTAGAGCCATGATTAATGGTTTTTTCTTGGCTTAATATGGTAGAAGGATGTTGATGTGAACGACCTTTGGTTCTAACAAGACGTCACTGTATGCCATACATCTAACGAAACAATAAATTTATTGAAGAAAACGTTTGGTGTGTGCAATATTTCACGTCGTGGGCCTATGGAGTGGCCTCCAAGTTCGTGCGATTTAACACCGATGGACTTTTTTTGGGGTTATGTGAAATCGCTTGTTGATTGTTACAACGGTTGAACTGGTATAAGATTTCATTTCAACAAATTGTGGCAAAAACGCGCAAAATAGGCTGTATTTATAGGCCGCATTTATAGGCTGTATTTTAGTGTAATACAAGTATGACAAACTTTGACCAATTAAGATTTATGGTTCCTAAGAAGTCGGGTGAACATAACCGAAATGACCAAAGTTCATATCGTTACCTATCAGGTAACCCAAAACATATATGTAGCTGTGCTCTGCCATAAATACAACTAAAGCAATCAATGTGAAATATTGTCAGCATGAGACGAAGAACTATTCAACAGAATCCATTTTTGCTTGAGGGAATTAGCAAGAGAGCCTTTAGCAAAGTTAGTTTTTCCTTCATTATGAAGTAGGTGCTTTAACTGGTCATTGTTCAATCGGCGGTAATGTTAAAAAGCTTGATTGGTGTTAACCAAATTAAGCCTTATTCAAAAAATTAGTGGATTTGGTAAAAAACCTGACTGTTTTCCACCCCAGCTGCCCAATGTCGCTTAATTTGCCAACGTAACTTTGTGGTATGCCCTGTGTTCCAAGACCTGAGATGTACCTCTAGTTAGCTACTGAAAGTCTAGTGATTGCTTGCTTGTATAACCTAACACAGTGAGACTTAGTATAAGAGCTACGGATAGTCTTAATTGCCGCTTTGCTGTCCACTTGCAGGTTTATGAATTTGTTGGTTAGAGCAAAAGTCCACTGGACACCTTCAGTTATGCCAACAATTTCGGCCAGACAGAGTCCGAAAGCCCTTATTGGATAGCAGTTGTAGAAGCCAATACTTTTTTCCTGATTTTTCCGGCTTTGCAAGATCAAGCCTGAAATCATTTGAAACTCACACGTTCAGCCTTCGAGAAGAGAAATAAACGCTAAGCAGATTTGTGATCGGTGCAAAGCTTTCTGAAGATACATGAGAACCAGTTGGTGTGGCATGAATAAAAAGTCTTTGTAGTAAACTCAGTTATAGACAGTTTTATCAATTTCTTTAAGCAGGTGGACTGCTGTGAAAAATTTGTCTACCTACGATTGGATATAACACTACTACTAAAGACTATTGATTCTCACTCTTAAAGTTTCCTGATATTTCTCCAGGAGTCGGACATTTTGTACCTTTAAGGGCCCATCACATTACTAATGTAGATCACTGTATAACAGTTTAGAATAAATTTTAAGAAATTTAAAATCAAAAGAGATAAAATTTCCATTACCTAAATTGCATTTAAGGCAATTTGACAATTTAATTGTCCATTTAAACTGCTATTTCTCTTAGCAAAATCCACAGGCATCAAAAAGAAATTGGATTTTCAAAATGTGTGAATGACTAACGGAGGGAAACAATTGTGTTCGTGCAAACTTAGAGACAAGCAAGAATGAGTAGTAGATATATGTAAAAGGATAAAACCAGGGCAAGCAATAAGTCGCACATACAAATAAATGCATATTTATTGTCTAATGTGTTCGAGAAATGCAACTCTGTTATGCAAAATGTCTAAAAATAGCCACACAATAAGTTCGTGGCAATAAAAACTTTTGTCAATTACTTGTGTATGACCGCACACAACAGCAAATATAACAACAACACCAACCGTAAGAGGTATTAACACAGTTCAGTAGCTGCCATGCTAATACCAGTGGGCCAATAAAACCTCAAAATGCAATTGAATGCAGCGAAGAAGAAAAAAAGAAAGAAAAAGTATCGAATGAGGGCAAGCGATGCAATGCAGCACTCGGTCAAAGTGCAAAAAACGGCAGTGGAGAAGTATGTTTGGCGTCAAAGTACCGAAGTGTACCAAGAGAGCTGATAGAGCTGACAGGGCAGGCCGAATGTGAGTCTGCAGCGAAACTTTCTGAATACCAATGAGTTTGAGGTTCAAGTGCAATTATATGCAGACATATTTGTTCGATATTGCTGTTATGTCTACTCGCTTGCAGTTTTATGCATTTTTCACGCACGTTCGGATAGATCGTGTTTGTGTGTGAGTTGTTGCATTAAACTTGCTGCGGCTTAGAAATGAGAGCAATTACTTTATTGATATTTATATATATTAAATACTTTAAAAGATCGGTGCAAATCTACATACAAATATACAGACAATCCTACTTAAATTGTTGCTTTTGTTATCTAAAAGTATAAAATTTTCGTGTCATCAACAATTTGCAGAAAACCATTAAAATTTGTTTTCATTCAGCAAGCTTTTAATTGCTTGCAGTTTTGTTAACCGAAATAACACTAAAACAGAACGAATAAGTTAACACAGAAACCAATTCGCCCAACCGATGAACTTTTCGCTTCAATTGACAAATAACTGAAAACATTTCGAGTTTATAAACTCATATTTTGACTATCATTGTGTAATTTCATATTGTTTTTGGACATTTTATTGCATTGCTATTCCAACATACCCCATCAGAAAAGCTTTGCAAAGCAGAATCGAGTTCGAAACTGGCACTAGCTAAGTAGTGAGAGTGGCTGTCTGCGCTCTGATGAAATTCATCAGTACAAACAGTTTTATCTGTGCAACCTCAGAATTGTCGTCGAAAAACCCTCCACCATAGTTGCGATTTTTTTTTTACAACACAAAGCTTTTTCTACCTCCTGACAGCTTCTACAATAGTCATTATATAGCGTTCCTAACCTACTGGCCAAACCTCAGCTGTATTTATAACACGTATGTTGGTTAAATATCTACAAGTAGCAAAAATCATATGAATTCCCTCTTGCCGGAGTCTAATTGTAGGGTGGTGCCGCTTTGGTTAGTTCATCTGCTTCACAGTTACCATAGATATCACTATGTCTTGGAATCCATGGCAGGTTTATCGTACAATAAGATGTTAGATCTACTAGGGAATCAAGGCATTTCTTTACCAAATTTGACGAAACCCTAAGAGACTTTAGAGATTTGAAGGGCGCTTGGCTATCTGTATTGATAAATGTATTTCTTGTTGTGAGCAGACTCCTTGTCAGAACAATAAGGCTTTCTTTAATTGCTGTGATCTCCGCTTGGAAGACGATTTTGGTATCTAATTTTACTAAAAAGACACCATCTAGCACGCTTAGGGACTGAATTTAAGTTCAATTCTATATAATTTCAAAAATCCATGGTATTGGGTAGAAATGGAAACCTAGTAATCATCCATCGATTTATGGTATGTCTTTTAATATTGTTTGCATAAGGTTTGCGAGGGTATTTGGGGACTTTCATCAAACCGGAACATGTACCCCAAGTGCCGAAAATACTGAGCTGCCAACAGTCTGTACAAAGTTGCAAAGTATTCCTACGGGGTATGCAAATATTTATTTAAACATCATATACGAGGTGTGTTCAAAGGAAAAAGTGTATTTTGATTTTTCGCGGGCTGTGTACATTTGATTATCGATATTTTGTTTTTCTTATA